ATGGAGATTTAGATATTTAATTTTTTCACATATAAATTCCGACCTACAATAAACAAATATAGAACAAACGCCATAATATTCCTCACCCCAACTTAAGTTCTTATCAGTAAACTATTAGATATGTAAATTTTGCCATATCTACCTACATACACACGCCTAAACATGAATAAAAAAAATAATTAGGTAAATATTGAACCCTAGTAGTATACGTGATAAAAAAATATAACAAGGCTTTCTTTGTGTTCCACTATCAAATGGAGTGGGGGAAAACTGACTCCACCCCCTCTCCTCCGCACACTTCTATAATTAATTCAAAACCGAATGTTGCAAACTATATTTACAAACAATTCAAAAAAAGGTATGCAAACAAATAAAGGGTTGGTTACTACGATTTTCAATATGTTTATTTATAAACAAATATTCCCAATCTCCCCTCTCTCCTATCACCGACTAGAGGTGGAGATTTTGAGGAAGTGTTAAAGAAATAAAATTCTGTTGAAAATCACAAAAATTTTTATCAACTACAATATTTTCCCCCTCCAACTTTTGTTTACAGAATATAAACTATTGGCAAATAGTTATCACACACATGGAAATATGTACACGGGAGAGGGGTGTGCGGAGTAGGTCTCTATTTATTATAGAAAACGTGCCATACTCTAAGGAAGGCCATTCATTATTCACAATACTGTCAAACAAAACAGATGTTCTCTTCTATTCGGTTCTTCTATACTATTTTAGCAAACATTTTATTTGTGATGTTTTGTTGTTGTCATTATTATTTTTTGCAATTCCTACAACAAATGCTATTTTTAAACAAAATAGAAAAGTGGAATTTCAACAAAATTCCCCCCATCAAAAATGATTTTTGACAAATGTATCCAATATATGGATAATAATTATAGTTAATGTCTTTAAATATGATTATAAATTATTTTTTTTAGTATGTGATAAAAATCCCACCCACACACACTCACACACTTTGTATTATTAGAATAGAACATGTGTGTGTTGAAATACTAATTAAATACAAATTAGTAAAATGTATTTTGGATTTTTTTATTTTCTAAATTAAATGTAAATATACATTTCGCGAAAAAAAATTATGTAAGATCGTCGTCGTAAACTGAATTTATTTTCTTTTTTATTTTGCTGATATAGAAATTGTCATATAATTAAATATGTAATAGCTGGGATTAAATTATTACATTGTTGTAGGCGGTGGTGGAAATAATAAAGATTGTGTCAATTGCAAAAAAAAGTGAAGCACTGCAAATAGTACATATTTTTAGAATGTTTTCCATAGAAGATAGACAGAGGATATTTTTATAGAAGGCGCAATTGGGATGACAGTGAAGATTTATTTTTAATTGGGAATTAATACAATATCACACGGCCAAAGCAATAATTATTCTCTATTCTCTCAAAAACCGTGTACTTGTTTTGATCCTTGAAAAATAGTCATTCAAATATCCAAGCTTCATTGTTTGTTTTCCCGTTACCCTGAAACGTGGGTCAATTCAAGGTCTATCAAAGGGGAGGATTTTTTTTTTAAACAAATTGTTTTAAGGGACTATCAATCAAAGGCGAATATATTTTTTAAAATATATTTTTCAAGGGTCTACCAAAGGCGTTGATTTTTTAAATAATTTTTAAGGGACATACACAAGGCTATGATTTTGTAAAACCTATTTTTTCAGAGTCTACCAAGGAGTTTTTAATTCATTTTTCAATGTCTATCAAAGGCTAAGGTTCGATTAAGGTTGTTTCAAACTATTCTTCAGAAAATCCACGAATTCTATGGGCCTTTAAAAGCTCATTTGAAAAAATATTCTTTGAAAAAATATTGATGTCTGAAAACGGCGAGGATTTTTTAAAATACATTTTTAGGGTTCTCAAAAAGGTGTGGATTTTTTTTAAATATTTTTTTCAGGGACTAATAGTTTATATAGGGATTACAATATCGACTACAATCGACTAAGGTTGTTCCGAACTAGTATTTTTTTTTTTCAAGAAAGACAAATATAAAAATTGGTATAACTTCTTATATGCTAATTGCTTTCAATTTTTATACATTTATTATAATTTTGTAAAGGAGTGTTAATTGGTGTTTATATATTGTTGACGCAATTAGCACATATATTTACATATATGTATAGGTATACAAAAATATATATTATATATAATTTTTCAATTAATTCTTTTGATAATAAATTTAAAAAAAAAATATTTCTACTAAAAATCTCTTCCTGTCGATCATAAAAATATTTAAAAACTTTTTCTATTATCTACCAATGTACTCCAGTGACAACGTTTCGAATTACATTTCTGCGCAGTTCAATATTATTTTCAATTTTTTTTTTTTCATTTTATGTTTTCATTTTGTTGCTCCTTAGCATTGGCATTTTTTATTTTACAATTTTTTTGTTAATGTTTAATGAATATAGCAAACTCTTCAAATTACCGGTCGGTCGGTTGCTGAAAAAAAAACATATTATCCGGGTATTGAAATGTTATAGCGAGAGAGAAAAAAAATTTTACAAACGTAGTAAAAATTTTGTTGCTTTTTTTGTCATATTTCTTCCATCACTTAATGTGTACGTGCCTTTTTGACGATTTTTGCTTTTTTATTTTTTGGTTTTTAGCAAATTATGAATGCATTTCTTTTATTTATTTTATGATGCCTTTGCCCCGCGCCGCACCTCTCTCTCATATTATCGCTTCTTCTTCCTTCTTTATCCATTCAGATTTATGTGTCAGTTTGCTAAAAATGATATGAATCACATTTTTGTAAATTGTGGGCAAGGGTGTGTGTGTGTGTGCGATTTTGGATTTTTAAGAGTGATTATTTGGTTGATGGTTCGGTTCGATTGCTCGCTTGCTGATCGGATCAATATATGTAATAAAAAAGGTTTAATAAATAAATATTTAGAATAAGGATAGCAGCAGCAGCACCGCACATCTGTTGCTGTAGTAATACTACAATTAAATGAATTTTGTAAATGCGATGGGGTTTCGCCGCATCAAGCAAGTCAATGTCAGAATTGACGTCATAATTGATTTACATTTGGCCCAAAATTGTTGTTACACGAATATTTACATCCAGGGTAGATAAGAACATAGTTTTATAGGAAATGGTCGGGGATATATTGATAGGAACATTGATGAGTTCCAGTTTTACTTATGGTGACTTCATTTTGGGAATTAGGCAATATAAATTGTTAAAATATGATTTTGACCTGCGAGAGAACGAGGCAGATGACTGTGAGTACCCCAAGTACATCTGGGAAAATATCGTGTCAGAGATATCTACTCAACCAGAACCTTCAAGGGGGTCTCTGGATGAAAAAAGATCCGTTGTACCATTGACGAAACCAAAGAAAGGTAAGGACGGGTCCAGAAGGAGAGCCCGTAAAAAGGCATCTGGTAAGGTAACCGTGGCACATACACCTTGGAAGAAACAAGGCATTATTAGCAATCCACTACTTACTGCTCAACTGTAAAAAACGCGAATCTTTACAAATAATTTTTCACAAAAAATTCTTTGAAAACATATTCAAAATAAAATCTACGATTTTTATGGGCTATTGCGACGTCTATAAATCTGAGAATCTGAAAATATGTTTTGGTTCTTTGTAAATCTATAAAAAAATAATTTAAAAAAATACGCCGCGAAGGGTCTTTGAGAAACATATTTTATACCCTTCACCACACTGTGGTACAGGGTATTATGTCTTTGTGCATATGTTTGTAACAGGCAAAAGGAATCGAGATAGACCCATGGTTTCTTTTGAGAATATGCATAGAATAACTTTCTGAGTCGTCCGTCTGTCCGTCCGTCCATGTATTTTTGTTAACAAAGTACAGGTCGCATTTATGATCTGATTTGGATGAAATCTGGCACAGTGCTTTTATTTGGCCCTATTGAAATTGGAAAAAATCGGTTCAGATTTAGATATAGCTCCCATATCTAGTTTCGTTCGATTTTATGTAAATGATGCACCAAACTTCCAATATTTGTCCGATTGGGACAAAATTTTGCACAGCGCACTGAATCAGGTCCATGCTTATGTGTGTTGGAATCGGTTCTGATTTAAATATAGCTCCCATATATAGTTTTGTCCGATTTTATGTGAATGATGCACCAAATTTGTATTGATTTCAGAATGGTATGTGTATGGGGTTTTTCAATTGGTTCAAATATTTATCTAGATAGCACGTTTAATTTCGGCCGATTCCATCTCAATGGTCCTCCGTTCTATCTACAGGATATTGTAAATCCACTCATTCAGTGGCTCTTTGAACAATTTTTTTTAATCTGCGCCAGGGTCGTCTCTGAAAAAAATATTGTTTAAAAATCCATGGGTCTATTGATGCCCACGCCTATATTGATGCCCTGAAAAAAAAATTATTTTAAAAAACCAACGCCTCTATTGATGCCCTGAAAATTTTTTTCTTTAAAAATCCTCGCCTTTATTGAAGCCTATAAAATATTCTTTAATAATAATCGCTTTTGATATAATATTTCATAATTTTTTAATATAATATTTGATAATTTAATTTAATTATTGAAATTTAATACATTTAGAAATAAATAAATGAAAATCAGACGTACAAGAAAAAAATGTCTATTAGTCACGGCTAATAACACCACAGCAACAACAACAAAAAAGTGCAAAAATAAACATCTTTTTATTCAATTCAAATTGTATCCCCTAACCTATCATAATGAATTTGAATTTGCAAAGCAACAGGCCTGGCCAGACCAGGCAGCACGACAAGTACTCTAACTAAAAAAACTACCACAACCCCATAGAGATTGTCATAGATAACTGCTATAAATTGAATGGGTTTGAGTGTGTGTGTCTGTGTGGAACCTATAATCTCTGTAGAAAAATAAACATAACTTCTTTATAAACAATAATAGTACATATAAATTATGAAATAAATCTTAAAAATATTCTATATATTTTTGTTGTTATTGTATTTTTTCTACTCACTCCAAATATTTCTCTTTGCGCATATTAATCGCTTGTAATTCGGGTTTTGCTGCATTGATCTGACGCTCGAGACCCTTGTATTCCTCCTTTTTGGCTTCGACATGACGATTCAGCTTGTGCATTTCACTGCAGAGATCACTGAGACGCGCCTTCATAAGGGCGGCATTTTGTTGTAGTTGTTCTTGTTCTTGTTGGCGGGTGACATTATTCGTTGGTATTGTTGGGGCTGATGATGCGCCGGTTGCTGTTCCTGTGCTTTGCGATATACTATTGGAACAATTTTGATTTATCGCTGGCGTCTGTGAGTTAATGAAGTTTTCCAAAATCTTTATTTGATTCTGGAACATTTTCTCCGCCCTTAGGAAGACTTCCTGATGTAGTTTTTTGTCATTTAGCTCAGCTTCGATGGCTTTGAAAGTTTTCAGCTTTTGTTCCAGTGTTAATTGTTGTTTATTGAGTTTATCGTGCAGCAACAGGAATTGTTCGGCCAATTGTCGTAGATCACTATTCGGCTGTAGGTCATCGTCTTCGATGGGACGTATAATGGGATTACTTAACGTTATGTCCAGGGTTTTATTGTACAGCTTAAGGGAATTGACTTTATAGTAATTGATAAGTTCCACGACAGAATTGAATTTACAATCGACAAACCCGTACTTCCCATTGAGGTGGCAAATTTTGATTAGCTTCTCTGTGCCATCTTTGATGAGGGTGAGGGTGTATTCACCCTCCTTGGAGAGGGCATCACGTACCAAGAAACTACCATCCGGTTTACCAGCCAATATATTTTTGACTTCTTCTCGTGTCATTTTTCCCCAATACCATTCAACATTGCGTAGCTCTTCGGCATTAGCATCTAAGGATTGGCCACCACCACCACCTCCTCCAGGAGGTTGTGGTCTCATTGTGGAATAATGAAAGGGTGAGGTGAACACTGTAAACAAAGCGGGGAAAATGTGTTATTACAACAATAAAACTCAAATCAATCCGTCTTTGACTTACTTTTTCTGTTTTTTCTGTGATTGTTTTTAGCAGCAGCAGTTTTGAAAATTCACAAAAATTTTCACCGGAAAATCTACGTTTTTGTTAGTTTTGGTTTTCCTTTTTTTATTATTGTTGTATTAGGTTTCTCTTCTTTATCAAAATTTTCTTTTTTCGATTCCTTCGTTTTTCTTCTTCTTACTCTTTTTTTGCTTTGCTTTATACGTTTTATTTCTTCTTCCTCTTCTTCTTATTTTTCCTCTTGTTTCTCTTAATTTCTTTTGTTTCAATTCTTTTTTTAACACTCACAAAAAATCACAAATTTTTTTCTTTTTTTATAATATATTAATTTTTTCTTCTTCTTTTTCTTATATATGTAAATTATTTTTTTCTTAATTAAATTTTTTTCTTGGTCAGTTGATTTTTCTGATTTTTATTAATACCCACACTCAACGTTGCGCACAGCAGTGGCAGGCAGCATGGTTGGTGGTGGGGGGCTTTGTTGTATATTTCGCGTATTTCAATTGTTGAACTTCTTATTTCTTCTTTTCGTGTTCTCTTTTATTTAAATCATCCGTTTTATCACCTCTACGACGACGAACGCGTGTAAATTGACGAATGAAGAGAAAAAGTCCGATTCCGCATTGATACTGACCTTTCTTTGAACACTTCCATTATCTTTGCGAACTTAACACTAAATCCTATTGCAAATTTAATTGATTAGTTGGGTTCCACACTTCACTCTACTCTATTCGGTTGATTTTTCTTTCCTTCATTTTTTTATTTTCCTTCCTTTCGAGATCGACAACGACGAAGAAGACGACGAAGACTTCATCATTCAACTGTGTGTGTTAACTAGTTCAAAAGAACGCCGTCAAATGTACGAATGGAACCATTTGCAACTAGTTCATATAGTTCACACATGCGAATTCGCTTATACGCATTCAATTTGTAGATGGTTTCAGACAAGGGGAAAATGGAAAACAATTTTTTAGGCTTTAATAGAGGAATATAACAAAAAAGGCGGTGATTTTTTAAATAATATTTTGAAGGCATCAATAGAGGCGTGGTTTTTATAAACAATATTTTTTAGGGCAACAATAGAGGCGTGGTTTTTATAAAGAATATTTTGTAGGGATTCAATAGAGGCGTGAATTTTCTAAAGAATATTTTGTAGGGATTCGTGGTTTTTATAAAGAATATTTTTTAGGGCAAAAATAGAGGCGTGGTTTTTATAAAGAATATTTTGTAGGGATTCAATATGGATTCAACATCCTCAGACGGCGTGGATTTTAATGGGGTTTTTAATGAATAATTTTGGAAGGCATCAAAAACAGACGTGCATTTTTTTTGGATTTTTTAAACAAAATTTTTCCTAAGCAGCCACAGAAAGCGTGGATATATTAAATAATATTTTTCCTAAGCAGCCACAGAAGGCGTGGATTTTTTTAAAGAACATTTTTCCAAAGCAGCCACAGAAGGCGTGGATTTTTAAAGAATAATTTCTTAAGAAATCCTCAGAAGGCGTGGATTTTTAAACAATATTTTTCCTAAGCAGCCACAGAAGGCATGGATTTTTATAGAATATTTTCTTAAGAAATCCTCAGAAGGCGTGGATTTTAAACAATATTTTTCCTAAGCAGCCACAGAAGGCGTGGATTCTTAAAGAATATTTTCTTAAGAAATCCTCAGAAGGCGTGGATTCTTAAAGAATATTTTCTTAAGACATACTCAGAAGGCGTGGATTCTTAAAGAATATTTTCTTAAGAAATCCTCAGAAGGCGTGGATTTTTAAACAATATTTTTCCTAAGCAGCCACAGAAGGCGTGGATTCTTAAAGAATGTTTTCTTAAGACATACTCAGAAGGCGTGGATTTTTTAAAGACTATTTTTAAGACCCTATGAAGGACATAGAGTAGCTTTTATTTGATTAAAGAAAATCTTTTTTATCGCCTGACGTTCTTATTGTGCCTTATTTACGAAATGTTCTATTATGGCAATCCCTATATAACATTACGGTGTAAATACGCCCTCCAATCTGTCTCAGAAGATGTGGTAACATTTCACAACAGCTGTTACAGATGTCATAACAAAAACATAACCTTGAATAACAATTCTTTTAAAGAAATACTCGATTTTGTTTCCCTACGAACGCAAAAAAATAATTTTGCAAAAATTTAATTTCGGGAAACACCAAAAAGCAATATGGCCAAACCACCATCCCGTGATATTATCAAAATCATTTTTCAAAATTTCTTCAAATCCTTTCGTCCTCGGCAAATTCGTGGCAATTTAATTGGTGAAGATTATTTTGGTAACAAATACTATGAAATACCAGCCGATCCCTCGATAGGTAAACGTAAACCCTCAAGATGGTTTGAACCAGCCGACAAGGAAGCATTCGATAATGAAATCACCGCTGAATGGGAAGCATGGCTGCGAGGACGTCGTGAAGAACCGCCGAGCCGAGAGGAATTGGTACGAAATTTACAAATTATGGATATGAAAAAACGTAATGCAGTTGAATTGGAAGAGAAATATGGCGAGAAAGATGCCAAGGGTAAATTAATACAACCGCAAGAGACCTACAATACCTTCCCGAAATATAATGATTATGAAATTATACCCGGCAAGGATCCGGAGAAGAAGTAAATTGGAGGAGCTGTGATAGAGGCTAATGATTATTTTTTGTAGTAAATGTTATTATAGTTTGTTAAATTTTATTAAGTAAAATAAAGTAAAAAATAAACTTTGTGATCGTGAAACACGATGACGAAAAATGACCTTTTGATCTTTTAGAAGAAAAATGTTTGATCTTCTCGGAGAAGAACCTTTTGTGTTATTATAGAAGACCCTTTGGTCTTCTATGAGAAAAATTCACATTGAGAAGACCACTCGGACTTCTATGAGAAGATCCTTAAGTTTTCTTTCAGAGGACTTTTAGATCTTCCAGGAGAAGGCCCTAGTTGAAATCTCCCTGGGCTTATTTTGTGTTATTATAGAAGACCCTTTTGTGTTATTATAGAAGACCCTTTGGTCTTCTATGAGATGATAAAAATCCTTGTGTGGTTCCTTAGTAAAAATATTCTTTAAAAAATCCACGCCTTCTGTGGCTGCTTAGGAAAAATATTCTTTAAAAAATCCACACCTTCTGTGGCTGCTTAGGAAAAATATTCTTTAAAAAATCCACGCCTTCTGTGGCTGCTTAAGAAAAATATTCTTTAAAAAATCCACGCCTTCTGTGGCTGCTTTGGAAAAATATTCTTTAAAAAATCCACGCCTTCTGTGGCTGCTTAAGAAAAATATTCTTTAAAAAATCCACGTCTGCTTAAGAAAAATATTCTTTAAAAAATCCACACCTTCTGTGGCTGCTTAGGAAAAATATTCTTTAAAAAATCCACGCCTTCTGTGGCTGCTTAAGAAAAATATTCTTTAAACAATCCACGCCTTCTGTGGCTGCATATGAAAAATATTCTTTAAAAAATCCACGCCTTCTGTGGCTGCTTTGGAAAAATGTTCTTTAAAAAAATCCACGTCTTCTGTGGCTGCTTAGGAAAAATATTCTTTAAAGAATCCACGTCCTCTGTGGCTGCTTTGGAAAAATATTTAAAAAAAAATCACGCCTTCCGTGGCTGCTTTGGAAAAATATTCTTTAAAAAATTCACGCCTTCTGTGGCTGCTTAGGAAAAATATTCTTTAAATAATCCACGCATTCTGTGGCTGCTTTGGAAAAATATTCTTTAAAAAATTCACGCCTTCTGTGACTGCTTAGGAAAAAGATTCTTTAAAAAATCCTCGCCTTCAGGGGATGTCTGATACTTCAGTTTTCTATAAGAGTCTCCTTTTGTCTTCTAGGAGAAGGTCCTTTCGAAATTCCAAAATATTTTCTATTTCAAGACTCTTGTGATCTTCTCCGTAAAACCCCTTTTGCCACCTTCCTTTTTCTCACATCTTGTTTTTTATAATTTTGTTTTTTTTATTCCTTAACTAATTACAAAAAAATGTATACTTTCAATATAGTAAAGTAAACTAAATCTACCAATCATCCATATCCAAATCTTTAACAATATCCACTTCTTCATTATCGGGTTCTTCAACGGGTATATCAACTTCTTGTTCAGCAACTGGCTTTTTAACCTTCTTCGTTGCTTTGTCCTTCTTAGTTTTCTTCTTGGGTTTCTCCTCAGCCATCTCATCATCACTATCTCCAACTCCCGGTAATTTGGCAACACCTTCATCATCTTCAGAATCTGAAGGGAACAGTTCCACTTCGCCATTTTCATTTTTAATAGACATTGGTTTCTTTGTGGGCTTCTTGATAACGGGCAAATCATAATCATCATTGACGGTGTCCGCTTGGGCAGCTTGACGTCTCTTTTTTGTTTCATGGGTCTTAACCCAAGCATTGTAGTAGATATCCAAAGGTGTGCCCTTATTACGCACCTGTGTCTCCCAGGCACGTATCTGATCGGTATCCTTAAGGCCAAAGGATATTTTACGACGTTCTTGTTCAATGAATTTGGAGTTCTCGGCAATTTTGTCGATCAACTGTTTAATTTTACGTGAATAATTGGCATTGCGGCAATCCTTGAGGTATGACTTTAGAGCCGTCACCGTGTGCACTGCCAAATCACAGAATGCCAATGAATTCGATTCATATGCCAAGTATTCCAATGTCAAACCACACACCTGTTCCACCACTTCATCACGGAAACCATTCTCCGCCAATTGACCCTTATTCAGACGAAGGATGCAGGTGAATTGTAAAGGTTTCATGGATACGGAACTGTGTTTTTTGTTAAAGGTGTTGCTGCGCAAAACTTCAAGAATCAAGGGTAGTACGGGAATAAAGGTGTGTGTATTCTTGGCCAATTCAATCAGCGACTGCAAACAATGGAATCTCAAGGGGAAATATTGTGCCGTGGGTATTAGACGTATAACACCAATGGCAATTGTTACCAAGGGATATATCAAGGGTTGTAATTGTTGCTTATCTGCAGTTAGACCCAAGAGATCACACCACAAACGCAATGAGTTGATATATTGCCAATTATAGACAGCTTGGAAGCTATCTTTTTTCTTGAGAATAACTGCATTACGTAAATGAATGGCCAGCTGACGGATGTACAAGAAGGCATGCTGATAGGTGGTATTCAAATCCAATGCGAACATTTCAACCAAAGAACGGCGCATGAAATTGATGGAAGGCAAAGTGTTGGGGGAAACAAACTTCGAATTGCGTACATAGGAAAGATACATGGCCTTCAGGACATGATTCAACATGGTGGCCTGCAAAAAAAGGGAAGAAGAAAAATCATTATTAAATTGTTGAATTCAAATTGATTTAATCCTCAAAAAACTTACCTGTTGATTTCGGGTAATTTTCAAAATGCACAAAAATGCCACGACGCGAATAGTTTCATCGCCGGTAGACCAGAGAACAATTAAACGTTTCAAAATTGTCTTGCCCAGGGTGCTGAAGGGCGCCACCATATTGGCCATTTGATGTAAATGTTTAAGCAGAACCGATAGAATATTTGGACTGGATACTTGTTCGACAAGGCGAATCAAATCGGTGAGATAGTAACGCAAACAACCACGAACTTTATTCCACTTCTTAGTTTTATGTAGGGGAATATTGGATTTCTCTTTTACGCCCAAAAATCTCAATATGGCTGGCTGCAGATGCAACACACACAGCTGGATGACACCATTAAAGGCAGCCGAACCCACTACCTTAAATGGCAACGGCACCTGATCAGCATCTGGGGTAATACTGGCCAATGCGGAACTAAAAGCCTGCGTCACTTTGCGTACCACTTCTATCGGTATTTTATCTTGTTCCAATTGTATTTGCCATTGACGTAAAAGATTCAGGGTGACTTTTTGTACACCATCTGTGGATTGATCGGCTTCTGCATCATCATCACCTTCAAAATCACTTTCATCACTGGCCACCTCCAATTCAGCATTAGGTTTGTGGAACTTTTCATCTTCCTCCTCGTCGTCATCATCCATATCTTCATCGTCATCCTCTTCATCATCATCTAAAAAGTCATCGTCGGAATCATCAGCATGGGATTTTTTGGATTTCTTCTCTTTTTTCGAGTTTGTTTTCGTTTTTACATCTTTTTTTGGTGCCACCTCCTCATCTTCTTCGTCATCATCACTGTCCAACATATTGAATTCCAACAATTGTTTATCATTCTTCTTTAAGAAATCATAAAACTCCGGATCGATGTCTTTCAAACCTTCCAGCTCCTCCTTGTGGGATTTTTTCGTCTTCTTCTTTTTACCAGCATCTTTTGTGTCCTTTTTGGTGATTTTCTTGGACTTTTTGGTGGCCTCCACCTCCTCTTCCTCCTCAGCTACCTTCTTGGGCTTTTTGCTGTTTGTTTTCAACTTCTTGGGTACCGCCACCTCAGCTTCAACTTCCTCTAGGACTTTCTTTAGCTTCTTGACTTTTTGTGGCTTTTCTTCTGTTTTTACCACCTTCTTCTTTTTCTCTATGCTGGCCAAGGATTTAGGCTTTCCAGGTTTTTTAATTAAAGTTTTCATTTTTTTAATACACGTTCTCTGGAGCAATTCTAAACAAAACTAACCCACGTGCAGAGTATGAAGCCGCCGGTCTACGACGCAGCTGATTATTTTTCGTTTTGCCGCCGTCATTGTTTTAGTTGATGTGAACAGGGTTGCCATGTCGAAGTTGTAAGTAAATAAATAAGTCTGCTTTTCCACAGGCAGATTTTTATTTGGCAAATTTTTTGTTTTCTCTTTTGAAATTTTCGCTTGCTTTTCCATTAGCAAATTTTTCTTTGCCAAATTTGCGAATCAAAATACAAAAAAAAAAGAAAATAAAAGTCAAAAGTTTTTGCATTTTAAAGATTTGTTTTAATATTTTATTTATTTTTTATATATTTTATTATATAAATTGCAAAAATTAAATTTCACTTGCACAAATTAAAGCAACAGGTTTGTAAACAAAAGCCGGCTGTGTGTCAGTAAAGCGAATAGGTTCAAAAGGAAATGTCAACAAAATTGTTTTCAACGAACAGAGCAAAGCAGAATTTGCGTGTACCGCAAATTCTGAACAGGCAAATTTTTGTTTTTCTTCCTCGCACCCCTCTCGCCTACAAATTCAGTATTTGCCAATTCCAATGGTACCGCCATTGTTTTAGAAGCGTATTCTAATGCGGTGTACACACTATCATTTTTGAATGGCACTCTTGCCCAAATTTTGCTTGTTTGATAGTGTGGCCTCACATGTTTGTCATTCATCAGGCAACCACAAAAATATTTATGGTTGTTGGACAGTCAGTAATCGATAAAAAAGTTGACAGTCAAAAATGATAGTGTGTACACCGCTTAATCGAAGGGTTTTTGGAGGGTAAAAATATCTTCAAAATCATATTTTTGACATAGCCTTCTCAAAACGGCATTTATATTAGAACTTTTTACCGGATTAACCTACTCTATGAAGATTTATTTGGAATATATTCAAATGAATTGACAATTTAAACCTACTGGGTTAATGAAATCTCCTTCAATTTAAACGTACTATAAGGTCCTCCATATTTTAGGTATATTGACAGTATTAGGCGAATTTTCCCAACCAAATTAGATGTAATTTGAAACTTGAGTGGGAAGTAAATTTAGCAATCGAAGTGTCTGTAATTGGGGACTCCGGACTTTTGGCGGATAAAAAGCTTATTCTGGAAAAAAATCAATTTATGGTATATGCATGGTCTTACGTGCATTTTTTAATTTGTATGTTTCTAGTCGGATTTTCCGAACAAAGTGACTATAATTAGGCATTCCGCGTTTTAGGTGAATACAAAATTTGTTCGTATAACTTTTTCAGTATTGATTCATGTTTTAACATAGCCCCCAATAGCCTCAGGTATTGGAAAATGTTAATAGGACAATTTTCAAACAGAAGTGACTGTAATTTGGCATTACGGATATTGGATGCATAATTTTCATAGTAGTAAGGTCCCCTCCGATTTTATGTATTGTGAATTCCCACATAGAACAGAACCTCAGCATCCTGTGTCCCGTGCACAAAAAAAGAGGCAAGATGATATGTGCCACCTATAAAGCAATAAGTCTCCTTCCCATCGCAAAAGTATAAAGTGCTATCCAGAGTGCTGTGTGAACGACTGAAGCCAGTGGTCAATGACATTATTGAACCATACCAATGCGGCTTCCGGCCTGGCAAATCAACCGTGGATCAGATTTTTACTCTGCGAGAGATCCTGGAAACCCCCATGAAAAACACATCGACTATAAAGCCCATCCGTTCAGAGGTGTTTAAAGTCATGCCTGCGTTCGACATTACTGCAAAATTAATACAGCTATGCAGGATAACTTTAACTGGTACAATGTCAGCAGTTAAAGTCGGAAAGGACCTATCAGAGCCCTTCAATGCCGAACGAGGATGCAGACAAGGTGACAGTTTGTCGTGTGACCTGTTCAATATTCTGCCGGAAAACTACTGCTTCGAGGTAGTGAACGATTTTATATACCTTGGTAAACAAAACGAATAACATCAGCTGTAAAATCCGGAGGAGAATAATGTTGGCCAACAGATGCTACTATGGTCTGAGTAAGCAGATCAAATGGGCCACCTTTCGCCAGACCAAACTCACACTCTACAATAAGAAACTGATATTACCCGTACTATTGTATGGATCTGAAGCATGGGTACTTGCGCAAGCAGATCAGGCAGCTCTTGTAGTGTTTGAGAGAAAAATTCTTTGGAAGATCTATGGGCCGAGCTACGTCGATGGTGAATATCGCCGTCGAATGAAACATGAGCTATACAATCTATTCTAAGACATCGACATAGTCAGACGGATCGAGCTGCATGGATTACGTTGTCTAGGTCATCTTGTGAAAATGAATAAAGATGCCCCAACTAAAAAAGGCATATAAACACGAACCAGCTGATGACTAAAGCAGAAGGGGAAGACCACAAATTAAATGGAAAGATCAAGTGGAAGACAATTCCCACATAATGACACAGTTTGCATATATATTAGGCTAACAAAATTGGACACATATTTAACCTACTGCTGTAGTTCGGTTGGAAATTCCCTACCAATATTGATGTAAAATCTCCAGTTATTTAGGGGAAATAAATATATAGTATAAAATGAGATGATTTTTTATGGTATGATCTATTCTGGAGAACAAGATTACAATATTAATTTCATATCTGCAAAATAATTGAAATCTTGGCAATAGGTGATACTATTCGGCGTAAGTCATGTAGAGTACAGTCATCAACATTACCTATAGCGTCGGCTGGAGAATCACGTATACAGGGTTTCTGCTTAAAATAATTATAATTCACCTTCAGAATCTGAAAGAAATCTACAAAATGTAAAAGTTGAAATCCAGATACCCGAAAAAGGTACGATTAGCCGTAAGTCATGTAGAGTAACTCTACAGTGATGAACATTCCATACCTATAGAGTCGCCTGGAGAATCACGTATACAGGGTTTCTGCTTAAATGGATTAAAATTCACCTTCAGAATTTGAAATCCCAGAAATTTCAGAGGTCACTAAAGTTGCTATTATTTCGGGTTTAATACCCCTAATATACACCAGCTGTTTTGGCTTGTTGAATAGTTGATGAGCAACTCGAGAAGCAGCTGATAACCAGCTGTTATCCCTGGATGACCTTATTAATAGGTCTTGAATTGAACTATGGAACTACGGAACTCTTAGTTAAATAATAAATAAATAAAATAATTTACAGCATTCGATACAACGAATATATTTGAGGACGCAGTGATCAGAAAAAAAAATTACAAAACATGGCCAACATATTAAAGAGATGTTTGCCCAGCATAATAAGGCAATCGAGGTTACACATTGCTCGTAACCTGGAAGCTCAGCACACAACACAAAAAGAATCCACACCGGCATCACCATCATTTACAATGACTAGCGATGAAACTCTGCGAGAAGTTCAGCATCATTCAAAAATGGCCACAGATTGGTGGGATAAAAATGGTCCCATGAAAGCGCTGCATGCCCTAAATGCTTTGAGGTAGGTCATGGATTTGTTATGAACCTGGATTTGAACATAAGTGATCTTTTAATATATTCAGGATTCCATTTATACGTGATGGTTTAATTGCTCGTGGTAACATTGCCGAGGATTTGGTGGGCACATCCAACGTCTTGAGGGGACAGAAAATACTTGAAGTTGGTTGTGGTGGTGGTATACTCACAGAACAGTTGGCTCGTTTGGGTGCCTCTATGACTGCATTGGATTTAAGTGATGAATTAATTGGTGTGGCCCGCACCCATCTGTCTCAAGAAGCTAATCCCAAATTATGTGATCTTATAAATTATCGAATTGAACCGATCGAAATGCATGCCAAGGATAAACAAAACTATTATGATGCCTTGGTAATATCGGAAGTTCTTGAACATATTGATGATAAAGTGGCGTTTTTGCAAGCCAGTGTACAGTGTCTAAAGGTATTTATTAGTTTAACATATAATTCTGCCGAGATCAGCTCCTATCTTAGGCTCAAGTCAATTTTAAGGCCCGATCGAGGATAGTTTCCACATATTTACCATAAAAAAAAACCTAGGGGCCCTGATTACAACGGCAATATTTGTTCTCATAGAAGTCCTTTCTGAGATATGAACTTACAAACCACCTTTTGGACTCTAATTCCTTTTAAATTATCAAAAGAAAATTTGGGTATAATGTTGCGGTCCTAGTTCTGACAGTACAATTTTTATGTTGTAATCAGGTCTATTGGAGCTAAATATGATAAAAAATAATTAAAAAAAGATCCGCGACCAGAACCTATTTTTGACTTCTTCCCTTTACGTATTGCTTCTAAAAAATCTATTTTTTATTTCATTAGCCTGGTGGTTCCATATTCATTACCACATTAAATAAAACCTTTACAATGTGGTTTAGTGGCGTTATAATTGGAGAATATGTCATAAAAGCTGCTCCCGTTGGTACACATCATTATGATAAAATGATATCACCATTGGATGTGCAACGTATTCTTGATACAAGTAAGTATATTCGGTTTAATATTTATACACCCTTATAATTTATTATTTTTTACCCTTTCAGTGGGTTGCAGCACGGTACTGGTTAATGGTTCCACATACGATTTTTGGCGCAACACATGGCGTTGGATTAATTCTACTAGCATGTGTTATGCTTTGCAGGCAGTTAAAACTGAAATCTAATTTCAAAATAAAGACTTGTTAATTTATAGATAAGATGTTTTCAAAACACAACAATATTGGGAGCTCAAAGAGGGGGTGTATATTAATATATTTCTATGATATTTTCAAATTTGTGTAATACACATAAAAAACAATAAAATTGCGATTAGTTATTTAGAAGCGGTTTTTTTTCATCTTATAAATTTGTATTTTAAATGAAAGATTTACTAAACCTACTTCATATATAGAGATCATTGTTACATCCTCCACAATAATGTGGAGTGTATATTAAATCAAAATATTAGTCTGTAACATCATAAGGTTCGGCTATAAAATATTCAGCCGCTAATAATTGAATGAATATTTTCATCCTGAGTAGAAGAAAAGGAAGAAATAGACAATTATATTCGATGTTACAGCTTAGCCTGAAGAGATTTTAGGAAAAGCTTTGGATTTGAGTAGGATCTATTCGGGGGAAGTAGGTTAGAGTATCAAGCTCGTATTTGCCAAGCACTTGTTTACTGTTGCTTGGAACAATTGGCACTTACATTGTTGATGTTTGGTCGTTTCTAAGCTCTTCCTTACCGTCTCATGAATGACTCCATTGGCATCTCAATTGGGGGTATTTCCAGGCGTGGATTTTTAGAAGAATATTTTTAGATGTGGATTTTTTAAAGAATATTTTTCTGGACTTACAGAGAATTAATTTTTAGGGATATTTCAAGGTGTGGACTTTTTAACGAATATTTCTGGGCGTGTTTTTATTTAAAGAATATTTCCGGGCGTGCTTTTTATTTAAAGAATATTTCTAGGCGGGTTTTTTAAAAAATATTTTTTCTGGACTTACAGGGGATTATCTTTTAAGAATATTTTTGGGCGTGGAGTTTTTAAAGAATATTTCTAGACGTGGATTTTTTAAAGGGAAAGGAATGGTGGTTCTATAACTCTGATATCTTATACACGATGGTAAATCGCTATATTCCACATGGTAACCACTACTCTCAATCCTTAGCTTTGAGTCCAAGAAGAGTGTACCTTTTTTTATATAACTCTTTTGAATTTTATGAATTTGGCAGTGTTTTTCATGTCGAAATTCTAGCAATAATGAAGGAAACTGAATAAGCCAAGAAACTATGGATTAGAAACCGCTGACTAGGTTTGGGATGTATGTAACAACCGTCCACTCGGAGACTATTGTCCATTGTGATCATCCTTTATACCTGAAAAGAGAACGGGAAAAGAAGAGAGAAGATAGTAGGAGAAGGAGAGCCTAGAGATGGTTATATAGTTATATCAGATTTTTGACAAAGCCTAGGATCTGCGAAGAAGTTATTCGGCGAGAGAATTCAGGCCAGATAGCTTCTGCAACCAGGTTATCTTGAATTTTGGTTGCACAGATCTCTCAATCGGAAGATTGAACGATTGTGAGCGTGTGCTCCATAATATCTGAAATTGTCATTAGAAATTTCCCACCAACCAGCAAGACTACATCATCGGCATAGGCTACAACCTTTATTTTATGATGATCGAATTTCAGCAGTATATCATTTATCACCAGAAGCCACCGAAGGGGAGAACCGCTGACTATATATGTCGATAGTCAAGCTGTCCTCAAGGCAATCGATTCGCAGACTGTAAATTCGAGATTAAGTCATGACTGCAAAGTAGTTCTATGCTGTTGTCAGGTGGTTCACAATCAATTGACATTATGATCGATGATAGCGTTAAGCCACAAGTTAGCTACTACATTGGCATTGATCATAAATAATTGATTTCGATTGGAAAGGAATGCAACTAACTGTTGGGATCACAGGTCACTGCATAATAAGATCTCTTAGGATCATTGTAGATTAGATCTCTTAAGTGGGAAATTAATGAAGTGGATTATCGTCGTCAGTTCATACGGTAAAATACATCGATAGTTGTGAGATAGACGCCATAAACTTTTTCTCAGATAGATCCCGTCATCATTTCCAGCTTTGTCCACAAAAATGTTGATGGCTGAGTTATCAAAACTCAAGCTCAAATCCCCTCTTCTCTTCAACTTCCTTTTTTTTCCTTTTTATTTTATTTTCAGGATGAACACATTGACTGAATTCATGTCTATTTACCAATGTCTTTGTCTTGATAGTAACTTTCAATCAGCCGACAATGTGAGGGGCATTTGTTTTAATACTTTTTTAATTGTGGTGCAATTTAACGTCGCTGTGTCAGTTCATCACAATATTATTAAACATATTTTACTCTAGTCTAATGACTTTCTGTGTTTTGGAAAATTTACCCGATAAAAGGTCATTGAGTTGTATACGTTCACATTTCATTCGTGACAGTGAGGTGTTGCAAATGTATGTCCTCATCGCATCACTTTGTAAAGAGGCAATAGACCGACCACTAGATCTTCTTTACTTTTGCAATGTTCTGAAAGATAAACAAATCAACAATGTATTTTTTAAAAGGTTTCGACAAATTGAGATGCAATTATATGAAATTGTGAAAATTGTTTTTGCAAAATATTTTATTAACCAAATTGGCAATATTTTATTAACCAAAGCAATATTTTATTAACCAAATTGGTTTTTTTCTAAAATTTTATTTTGTTTAGAGTCCCCTTTATATGTGATGGCCTTTTGGCCCAGGGAAAAATGTCCACCAATTCACGTGACAGCCAAGACATTTTAAAAAATCAAAATATTTTAGAAATTGGTTGTGGTGGTGGTATATTAACGGAAAATCTGGCCCGTTTGGGTGCCCACATTACGGCATTGGATTTAAGTGAAAATATGATTGAAATAGCCCGACAACATTTAGCCAAGGACTCAGAATTGGCAATGGCCAATCGTATAGACTATAAAGTCGAAGCAATAGAACAACATGCTATACACACAAAGAATTTCTATGATGCAATTGTGATATCAGAAGTATTGGAAAATATAGATGACAAAGAAGAATTCTTAGCGGCAGGGATAGAGACTTTGAAGGTAAATGGATTTGAAATGATATGTGTTGTATTATTTTATAAATATTTCTTTTATTGTTTTAGCCCGGTGGTTCGGTTTTCATAACGACAAATAAAACCTATACCATGTGGCTGGTTGGTGTTCTATTCGGTGAATATATTCATCGTTCGATACCAATTGGAACACATCATTATGGTAAAATGATATCACCGCGTGATGTTGAAAGGATATTGAATGGATGTAAGTTTGGTTTTAAATTAAATTGGTTTTATATTTAGACCCAAAACAAAGATTGAAAATATCTTCAACGATTCAAGATATTCTAACCACACAAACAAATGAATGACGTGGACAGTTCGAAAAGTTCTTAGCCTAGCACAAAAAGCGAGGTATAAACAGAAAAAAGTTAAGTGTTTTGGAAAATTCCATCTCTGTTATGAACACATGTTAAATTTTGTTTCGCTCTGGCAACTCCTTCATATAGAAACAGGTGTTCAAAAAAGACGCATCCGCAATTTTTTCCCCAATGAAAGCACGCATTCAATGTCTATAAATAAGGTCGTCCAGGGAGACCAGCTTGATATCAGCTGCCTCTTAAGTTTGATGTCAAAATCCATTATTGGAAATTGACTTCCATTATGAAAACGTAAGGAAAAGCCAAATTTTTGACATTAGACTTGAGAAAAACCGCTGACTTTTGCTATATGGGTGACCTATTAATAAATCTTATTCCACGCATTTCTAATTTTTCCATTGTTAAAAATTTGCGGATGTGATTTTTTTAACTGGTGACTAAACCTTTTTGAGGCTCTCATAGCAATGCTTTGCTATGTTAGGTTAAAGGATGTGCGGCAGTCGCTCAGAGATCTGTGATTCATTATGGTCTCCCTGAAAAGGAAATAAAAAGGAAAAAAGAAGAGAAAGCGGGAATATATAGCGTGAAATAAGAGGAGTAAAGTACTATTAGTCCTTTCATAGTGCATTCCTCAACATTCCTCTTCCACGTCAATTTGTGGTCCACGTTAATTTGAGGACTGTACCAAGGTATTTTGTTTCTAAGGAAAGATCTAATGTGACTCCACTCTATGATGGCAATCGGAATGTTGTGATCTTACATTTCCTAGTGAAGAGAACCATTTCTGTCTTCATGGAGTTTACAACAAGTCCATTGGCGTGTGCACAATTGGACAGAGTTAATAAGACACTCTGTCTGATGTCAGAAAAAGTCGGTAGAAATTTCGCACCGATTAGAACTACATCATCGGCATCAAGGCTACAACCTTTATAATGAGGATATCGAATTTCAGAAGTATCAAATTTTTCACCAGAAGCCATAGTAGAGGAGGTAGTACTCCTTTCTGTGGTGTTTCTTCACGGAACTCTCTCCAGTGGACGAATTTAAGACAGACAAGCCCTAAAATCCCCTGCAGAGTGATCAATACTCATTCATCTGCAGCATGGGCGGTATTACCATCTGGACCCAGGGGGTTGTAGGGTTGAAAGCTATTTATTGCCCATAACAGCTTTGGATAGCTTTTAGTGTTCTCTATCAGCTACTCCCCTTCCTTGGTTCGGACCGTATGCCGATGTGCATATCGCACTTTGGGGTTATTGTCTATACAACCAGGGAAGTGGGTGGGATGATGGAAGATCAAGGGTCTCTCTGACAAAGTTAGTGCACGTTCCTTCGCTTCGCTTTATACTACCTATAGATTTTAGATCTTGAGATATTACTCTGCGAAATCTAGCCGCTTCGTTTACGTATAGCCTTCTTGATTTCACTTGTGTACCTATTGAATTGTTCTCTGTAAACGTTGTAATCTTTACAATGTTTCGTCATACTAGCTTTATTATAAGATTTCTTAGCCTTCCTCAAGGATGCTAAGTTTTTTGATCACCATACCAGTTGTGATTTTCTCCCAGGGTATGTCAAAGGACAAAAAACCGTAGGTCGATAGGCAGGTACTCACATTAAGCTCTTCAATATACTTCCAAATGGGACTCCAATGAAAAGGATTACTGTCGTCTATGTAAGGACGAAGAGGAGCTAGAAACAATTGAACATATCCTCTGTAGATATCCATCGCTGAGTGGCAGAAGACTCAAACAGTTTGAAAGATATGAAATTGATAATTTAGCTTTCTTCTCTAAAATAGACCTCATTCAGATCCTAGGCTTTGTCAAAAATCTGGCAAGGCTAAAATAACCATCTTCCAGGCTCTTCAACTCCAACTATTTTTTTTTCCTCTCTTCCATGTTTCCATTTAGATCCTAAAATGTTTATGGAAACTTTATAACATTTAGGTATCTCTTATACGGTACCTTTTTTTAGTTAAAAATGTTTGTATTACAGTGTATGTTTGTAAATCATTGTTAATATCAACAAATTAACAAGTCAGATAATTCAGGCGTACATAAATTTATTATTTTGTTTGCGATAATTAAATTGCGGTAAACACAATTAAACAAAACTGGATTATTATCTTATAATCTTACAAAAGTAAATCGTTATGGAAGTCAATATTTGAGTTTGTTTAGAACAAAATCGCAAAACACTTTTAAGTTGAACTTAGTCACGCAACAAACAACATGTCACTTCAATCACTAAAGAGTTTTAATCGAGTGCTAATCCATGGCAATAGGTATAATTCGTATATTTTGAGTTTTCAAAATTAAATAATATATTTTAAAATATCTTCAATTATCTGACAGGTTACCCATTATATCCTGGAGTTTTGTAAGAAATGTGAAAACCAATGAAAATGTATCGGAAACAAATGCAGGATATAATCTAAGCAAACACACCCAAAGTGAAGTGAAACATCATTCAGATTTAGCCATTGATTGGTGGAATGTTAATGGTCCCATGAGGGCACTGCATTCCCTAAATAAAATCAGGTAATATCTACACACACATGTGGAATTTCCAGGATTCAATATAATGTTCCAATACTCGTATTTAGAGTGCCTTTCATTTGCGATGGTTTACGGCAACAAGGTAAACTTTCACCAAATACGAATTCAGAAACTCTCACAAATCAACAAATTTTGGAAATTGGTTGTGGTGGTGGTATACTCACCGAAAATCTAGCTAGCCTGAGTGCCAATGTAACCGGTTTGGATTTAAGTGAAAATCTAATTTCCCTAGCCCAGGCACATTTGGCCAAGCAACCAAAATTTGCTCACCTCATTCAATATAAAGTAGAACCAATTGAGACGCATGCCATGGCTAGGAAAAATCATTATGATGCCATAGTTATTTCGGAGGTATTGGAACATATCGATGATAAAATTGGATTTCTTACCGCAAGTGTTGATGCTGTTAAGGTAATTGAAGAGAAAAAATATGAGAAAAATCGAAATTACAATATTATAATGAAATTCCAGCCAGGAGGATCTATTTTCATAACAACCCTTAACAAGACCCTAACAATGTGGGTGGTGGGTGTTTTAATTGGCGAATATATGTTACAGGCAATACCAATTGGTACCCATCATTACAATAAAATGATATCTCCGGCCGATGTGGAACGAATTTTAAAAACATGTGAGTTATAAAAAAAACAGTCATAAATTCAAAGAAGTTTATCATATAGAAAAATGTTTATTGTAGTAAAATGTACAATTTACAAAATAATTATCCTTCTGGTTCCCAACAACAAATTCAATTTATAATTAAAAATCATCAAATAATTAGTAGAAATCCGAAGAGAACAAACTGGGAGAAATACACGGATCAAACGAACTCCCAGCTGTCTCTTAATTCAAACTTAGAAACAGCTGTGGTACTCAATGTGGCCGTGAACAATTTAACGGACGTCCTTCTCATATGCCATAAGGAATCCTGTCCGCTTAAATACCCTGGAAAAGAAACCCACCCCTTGTGGTTTCACCAGTAATTGGGCCCTTTACCAGAAATGTGACCATGATTCTACTGAGAAAACAAAAATACAAATACCTAATATAACAAATTTAAACAACTTGAGGTTAATATTCTCCAAAAAACTTGTTTCACGTGTAACTTCTGTTAATTTTAAATCAGATCAATTTTGAAATGCTAATTTTATTATTTTGTTTATTTCCTTTCCAGTGAACTGTGATACAATACTTGTAAAGGGTAGCTCCTACAACTTTTTCCGAAACTCTTGGCGTTGGATTAACAGTACATCGATGTTTTATGCTCTGCATGCCGTAAAACGACAATGAGATCAATAAAATTCGTACATATTTAATGTGTTGGGATTAGAATTAAAAATAAAATAAAAACACAATACATGCAAGCCTTACAGATTATTAATAAAAAAGTAGTATAATACCATTTTAAATGTTTAAATATTTTTTATCGAAGTTGAAAATCAGGAGAGCAATTAAAACAATTAATTTTGTTTAAATTGCCTATAATTCTGTGTAAAACACGTTTTGGATGTGGTAATATAATAAGAAATAATAGACAATAATAACAGCAAGTTATAAAATATCAAACAATTGACCGACAAGCCTTAAAAAAATATTCCTTAACAAAACACGCCTTGTGTAGAGCCTTGAAAAAATATTCGTTAAAAAAACACGCCATGTGTAGAGCCTTGAAAAAATATTCCTTAAAAAAACCACGCCTTATGCAGAGCTTTGAAAAAATATCCGTTAAAAAAACACGCCTTGTGTAGAGCCTTAACCTTTAAAAAATGTACGCCTTGTATAAATTCTTGAAAAAATATTCTTTACAAAGTCCACGCCTTGTATAGTCTTGAAAAAATACTCTTTAAAAAATCCACTCCTTGTATACAGACTTGAAAAAATATTCTTTAAAAATCCATTTTATTTTATATTTTTTAAATATTCACGCTAAAATGTTTTTTTTTAATCCAAGCCTTGTGTACAGCTTTGTGAAGTTATTTTTATCACAGCCTCCCCTTAAACCATCGATCGGCCCACTCCTGGTATCCCCCCAATGATTAAACCTTTCGAAAAATGTCAATTGTAAAGTCTTTATTGGGAACCGCTTTACAAAAAGCCCAGACACAACAAAGTTTACAAAATCAAAAATAGTTTATAGCTACACAAGCTATTTATTTTCTTTTCATACTATTTATATTACATTAAATATAAACTAAAAATATAATAAGTGTATTTAAAAAAACTGAAGCAGTCAATTTTGTTTCCATTTTTGTTATAATAATGCCTATTATCTAATTATGTAGATACAAATAAATATATGCAATTAATTTGTCTAATCTCTAATCATCATTGGGTTTCATAAATTTTCCTCTTTTCTTTTTCCCCGCAAATCCGTGATTTTGTCTTTCATTTGGCATTGTCACTGTCTGAGCATCATCATCATGACCATCATTATTCGCATGTCTCTTATTAACTTTCTTATATTTATTGAATTTATTTTCCATGGTGCGTCCAGCCCCAGCCGCTTTTGTGTCATGATAAAATTTGACCATTTCTTCATTGGATACATCGGTACTTTGTTCATGTCGTTTTGTTGCTTCCTTTTCGGCTTTTTCCAATTCCAACAGCCGTTCAATTTCTGGATTCATACCACGAAAACTTAAACGACCCTCAATGAGATTTTCACAGTGAACAAAACTTGGTTCCATAATGAAATTTGATTTACTGTTTTTCATGCGTTCGGTAATTTCACTGGAGTACATTTCACGTCCTGTAATAGAGGGAAAAAGAAATTGGTAATTTATTGTTGGAAAAATTCATAATATTCAATTCATGTGGTCATAATCTAAATACTCACCTTCAGCAGCTTCAATTTCTTTGTTGACTTTTTCTTTTGTCCTTTGCATAAATTTCATTTCCAATATGCCCTTGGATAGCTTGGGTTTACTTGAGTTTTTGTTGGCCATGGTGAATGTAATGCAGGATAGTTTTTTTAATTTATAAAAATTTAAAAAATTTATTTACAAATGAAATGGGAGACAGTCGTCCAATGCACCGCGTGTTGTGAAAATGGAAGTTGTAAACAAAAACAAGGAAAATCAAAATAGGGTTATATAGATCGAATATGGTCAAGGTCTATTAATAAGGTCTCCAGGGAGACCACCAGCATATCAGCTGCTTGTCAAGTTTGTTGTCAAAAATACATTATTATATCGGAAACAAAGTCCAAATAACATTGGAGTTGAAAAATGGTTAACTTTCAATTGCTGGGTGACCTTATTAATTAAGATATCTCAGGGAAACTTCTGTTAAATTCTGTTAAATTGTCCACAGAACAGAAAAATGTTTTTCAAAAATTTAGAGAACCAAGTTTATTGGATATTAACAAATGAGAACCGATCCAAAAAAAAAATTGAAATAAAATGTAGGGAATATTTCTTTTCAGTCTCCATATTGAATTATAAGTCTAAACATAGCATTAGAATCCAATTTTTCAACACTTCACTAAAGAGGTGTACACACTAACAGTTTAGACTGACAGGGTTTTTTTTATCGATAAACCATAAATATTTAAAGCGGTATACACACACTGGTACTCTCGCCCAAATTTTGCTTGTTTGATAGTGTGGCATCTGAGGTTTGTCATGACATGAACGGGTTTCAATCAAACAGGAAGAATTTAAGCCAAACCGATTGGTCTGTTCCTGTAAGGCAAGAATTTACTACATTTTTCTGCGATAACGAATTTTCTTCCTTTATAATACCGAAGATAATAGTAAAATCTAGTAGATACTTGCAGTGCGGGAACAGACCAATAATTTTTAAACATCTTAAGGCATTAAACATTTTTGACTGTCAGCTCTTTTATCGATAACTGATTAGACAAGAACCATGAATATTTTGGTGGTGGCTGATGGAAATTTAGGTTAGAGTGTCATTCAAAAGTGATAGTGTGTACAACCCATTAAAATATTATAATCAATATGAAAAATGTACTGGAACGCTACTAATATTGTAATTACATAGACATTTTCAATGTAACAAACTCGATTATTTAACCAAGAATATTTTCGTGGTGGCCTGATGAAAATTTGGACAAGAGAGTCATGCAAAAGTAATAGTGTGTACAACGTTTTATAATATTATAATTAAAATGAAAAATGTACTGGAACGCAACTAATATTGTTATTACTTGAAGAGATACGTAGACCGATTTTCAACATAACAAATTCGATTATTTAACGTTGGCTTGTAAACATATTATAAAATCGAAGACTGACAGATCAATAAAAAGAGATACATACGCTTGTAGTTGTCCTGATGGCCCTAAATCCAGCATAAAATAATAAATTATTCAATTTCCTAGCATCATGCCATCAATTTCCTCGTATCCCTTTATAGATACACTCGATTAATCGATTAGTCTAAAAGTCGATCTACACAACCCTAATGGAAATGTCAATGAATGTGAGTGAATGAATGAAAGAATAGAACAGAAAAGAAAAAAAATAAAATCCAAATGGCGCTAGTATTTCTCAAGCGCCAAATTTAGAATTTAGTTCTTCAAAAAATATAAAAATAAACACATTTACATTTGAAAATACCAATTGAATACGGGACGAAGCAATAGCTGGAACATTTGCGGAGATATTGTGATAAATTGCAATTATGGAAACGCCAGAAAATACACCGAAAAAGTCATGGCCGCCAAACAGCAATGGTGGCAGTGGTGCTGCTGCTGGATATGGAACGCCCCGACAACAGCCACCCAACGGAGAACGTGAAAAACATGAACGGACACCACAAACACCTGGACGAGCTATTGGTTCCCTGGTGCTATTAACACAAAAATTTGTGGATTTAATGATAAGAAATGGAGGGGAAATTGATCTCAAAGATGTAAGTTTTTCATCAGCTATGGCTAGGCGACATTAAAAAAATCAACCACCATTAATAACAAAAAAACACTGATATTTTGTGAGTAAGAAGTTAGCTTTTGTTATTATTGTGACGATGGCAGCGACAACGGCGTAGTCGTACAGTGTGTAATATGTGATGTGTTGTTGTTTCTGCCCTTGTGTAGTTTGTTATTGTTTTTGTAATGGTGTTTTGTTTTTTGTCTTCACCTGACTAACGCGCCAAAAGATTCTATAGAGAACCCTCATTTCTTCTAAGATTCATTGTTAATTAAGAGTTTCACTTACTACGTAATGTTTTTTGTTGTTTTGTTTTCGTTAATTGTTAATTCTCTTTTGCGTTGCGTTACTCCCGCCATCTTTCACCAACACCTCTAACCCCGCGGGCGCATTTCAATTAATTGTAGGCTGCTGACATATTAGATGTGCAAAAACGTCGTATTTATGATATCACAAATGTTTTGGAAGGAGTTGGTCTCATCGAGAAGACACGTTATTCCAGTGTTGTTCGATGGCGGTAAGTTACAAATCAAATACATCTCAAATAAAAATACATATATAAATAATAAAAAATGCTTTTCTTTGTTTACAGAGGCGGCCTGAATGGTCAAAATGACGATTCAATATGTAAAGCGGTGAAGGCACGTACCGATCATTTAATAGCATTGGAAGATGAAATTGACACACTATTGGATACCGCCCGTCGCAATCTCAAATATGTCAAAGAAGATGCTATAAATCGTTCATTTGCCTATGTTACCCGCGATGATTTACTTTCGGTATTTGGTGACGATGTGGTTTTCACAATACCCCGTCACGACGAAGAAGTGCAAATAGAAAAAAATAAGGTAAGTGTGTGTGGAATTTATTTGTGTTACTTGTTGTGGCTTAGTAATATATTTTAAGATTTGTTTTGAATTATAATTTTTTTTTTTGTAAAGAAATGATATGAAGAATTGTGGTTGAATTGAAAACATATTTTATGATCTGCAATGTGACTCAGTCAGAGAACATAAAATGTCTCAAGGGGAATGAATAATCCAAAAAAGCAAAACTAGCGAGATTTCTAGTGGTGATTTCGGAGGTGGTCTTAAGTATTGTATAGCGTCCGATCGCGTAACATTTTAAAATGTTTAACATAAGTTCTAAGGCCGCTGATTAAAATAATACACTTTTTTCTTGCGAACATCCATATTTGGGACTGTATTTATTTTATTTAATTTCTTTTAATCTATGGAACGAGGTAAAGGTTACTTACATTCCAAGCCACTCTGCACCAAAGGACTATAGACTTATTAGATTATCATCCTTTCTTCTCAAGACCCTCGATAGACTGATCGACCTGGAGATTAAGAGTCGTATAGACACCACATCTCTTAGCAACTCACAACACGTATACATAAAGGGCAAGTCTGTAGAATCTGCACTGCACGAGGTGGTAAATTACATTGAGAGGAATATGGAAAATTCAAAATTTACTTTGGCCGCCTTCCTAGATATAGAGGGAGCCTTTAAAAACGTTAAACTTGAATCCATAAACCACTTACTTAAAGATGTTGACATTCCTGAAACCTTTAGGTATTGGATAGATAAAATGCTAAACAACAGAATTATAAATCCAAGTGTGGGAGATACAAAAATCAGGAAAACGGTAACTAGAGGTACACCTCACCTATTGGTAATTTTGTTTTTGCAAAATAGTCAGGCTGAATCCCAGTTTGTTGTTTTTATAAAAAAACAACTATTTATTAGTGGGGAATGTATGGTATTGTTTGCCGGAGGGGTAAGACAGGGAAGACTATAGTTTCGGATCACGCCACTGATCCTCATTAGATCCCTTAGTTTTTTGTTGGGATATTCTCCCCAGAAGTTATTGCTTCTATACAAAAACCGTTCATACCCAAATGTCTCTTGTAACAAAGCGAACTACTTAGCTGACCAACGACATAAACTGTATGAGAATTTCGCTGGAGCTTCACTTCGAGGTTAACAAGGCATTTACAAACAATTCCATACCTTTCCCACTGTTGTGTGTTGTCACATCGCGACAAATGCACACAAGGCATTTGGAAGACAGCGGAACTGATAAAAAGTCTGAATGCAGAGATCGTTGAACCGGTGACTATCTTTGTGGATAGTCAGGCGGCTCTTAAAGCCATCAAATCCTGTTACATGAAATCGGTGGCCGTCCTTAAGTGTAGAACAGTTTTGGAAGAACTTGCTTACAGCTATCGGCTATGTTGGGTATGAAGACACCGTGACATCATGGGTAATGGAAAAGCCGAACGAATAAGCTAGAAGAGGATCTCAATCTACATATCTAGCAATTGATGGCTCAATCGTGTGTTATCTTTATCGTAACTTTGAGGCGGTCTTCGACGAAAGAGCCTATGAACTTTAGCACAACGAATCTAGGTGCAATGTGTCAAGATCTATTTGGCCGACTCGGTCTACCAAAAGGACACACTGTTGAACCTGACCAAAGCTAAAATAAAAGTAATGACAGGAATCATTACTGGTCATTGCAATATCAGGGCCATTACCAGTAAATGGGACCATGATGCTATTGATTACTGTAGAGGAGACGTAGACAATTGAGCATCGCCTGTGTCGGTGCCCAGTCCTGGTCTACAGACGACAGACTAGTGGGTGCTCACTTTCCACCGAGTCTTAGTTTCTTCTCAACAACGGAACCTGCTATAATATACAGCATAATAAGTAACCTAAAGTGGTTGGAAAAAGTGCAACCTTGGCACGTAATATATCTTCTGTCCGATCTCTATAGCCATTGATACTATCTCATACTTACCTTCTCACAATTCCTTGTAAGCTTCTCATCTCTCGCGGGGGTGAAGCAATGATATCCCCCAATATTCGGTATTTGGTATTCTCATTGGTTGTCAAATCTCACTTCCGAAATTATCAATATCGATCTGCGCGTTGCTATAACCCCATATAACGGAAGCCCTGCTATTCGGTATTATGAAAATTTAATATATATTTTCGCGTCTTTTCGGTATAATAACATGAGTATTTTCATAGGATCCCCCATTAATTTCAGATATTTTGAATATCAAACTAATGGTGGAGGGTATAAAAAGTTCGAATTTAAAATCTTGGTCTTAGCAGCATAGATTAACCTATATAAAACTTATATTCCTAATGATTTGTTTCGATACATCTTTAACCTCATATGCATATCTTTTATCAACAAATAAATGCAAACACGCCTTTAAATTTTTCTTGATGTTGTTTTTGCTTTGTTTTGATTATATGCAAGTGGCAGTATTTCTATTTTTAGTTTTTATTTTTTTCTTATCTTGTTTTACCCATTCAATTCTTTCGATTGTTTATTAAAAAAAAAGTGCGTTGTCAATTTCATATTTGTTTTCGCACATTTGATGAAATGCAGTATGGAAAGAATTCAAATAAATAATTTCAAGTCAATGGCATGTGAAAGAGCTCTAATGTACAATTAAAATGTTTGTGTGAGAATCTTATGGTGCAAATGGAAATAATAAAAGAAATGTCCAGCACCACCACCACGGTTAATGCAATAATGTCATTATTAACCACATTAACATATAGAATACTTTGTATACTTCATATTCATACAGAAACGAACTGTTTCTCTAACCTAAGGAAATCGAATGGCTTACGACCAAACACCTTTGTAAACAAAAATATGTTTGTATACCGTCAGTTGTAAGGTTAGTTTTTTTTTCAAAGCCAAGTCGTGCACTATTAACTAAAAAACAATTCGTGACTCTAAGGATGTTCTTCATGATATACGACGGATGGTTAATTTATGCTGGGTTCCAGGACATTGTAACATAGAAGAGAATGAGATTACCGACAAGCTTGTTCGAGGCTCGAGGTTTACAGTCGTTTAATCTTCCGATTGAGAGATCTGTACAACCGCCCATTGGCTTCTTTATTGGCAGAATTCGTCTGATCTACGGCGAGGTGGTCGGCAACAGATGGTCAAGCGAACCTGAATGCAGTATCTCGAAAACTTTCTGGCCAGAATTCTCTCGCAGTAGAGCTTCTTCGCTGTTGTCTCATACTAAGAGATAGAGAGAGGAAGAGAGATTAAAATCGTTGTGAGGACCATAACAGGTCACTGCAGTATTAGATCACTCACTTCTAAATGGGATATCAACGGGGTGGATTACTGCCGTCTATGTGAGGACGAGGAAGAGCTAGAAACAATTGAACATATCCTCTGTAGGTGTCAATCGCTGAGTGACAGAAGACACAGACAGTTTGGCAAATATGAAATTGGTAATCTAGCATTTTTCTCAGGAATAGACCCCAAACAGATTCTACATTTTGTCAAAACTTTGACATAGTAAAAAAACCACATTTCTGAAACTCATTTCTCCTCTCCAACTCCCAATATCCTCTTTCCACTCTCTTTTCATGATCATAATGGACAAACTTCTCTGAGTGAACGGCTGCAATTAGCAACCGTACATTCATAACCTATAACGGTACCCCCAAATTTCGGTATTTGAGGGACAATGTGCACGTTTTTAACCGAATTGGCTCCAATTTGATATGAAACAAGTGAAAAAGCGTTCGGCCGGGTCGGCCGGGTCAAACTTTGGATACCCTCCACCATAGATATACTGGCAGGTACTAGAAATGAAAATATAGGGAGCATACCAAAAAGTGGACCTATACCGACATTTCTAAAAAGGGATTATGTAAACCATAATAAAAAAATTCAGTAATTTTTAATGGATAATTATACACTGTGGCTAATCGAAATATTGGTTTTAGACCCACGTTTCTTTGGACCAAATCCGTTTCAAAAAATTTAGATTTCATCCAAACTTTGTCCATCTTATTATTTTTTCCAATCTTAGTTTAAATTCGAAGATGGGGAATATCGGAGGTTTCCTCCATACAGGGACTAGGCCTAAATGGAACCTTACGTTCTACTTTTTTATCTCGATATCCTCCGCAGGTGAAATGATTACATCAGAGTCTTAGAACCAAACTCAAAACTCGAAACAAATCAGATACTACAGATACTGGGGACTACCTAAAAATGGGGCGAATATTAATAATTTTTGGTAGTGAGATTTGGTACCATATACGACTACAAAATACCAATTTGCAGCAAATTCGGTTGAAAAACGCGCTCAAGAACCCCAAAATTCCGAAAATTGGGGGTACCCTTATATGGGGGCTATCCGAAAAAATGGACCTATATTCATAATTTTTTGTGGAGAGATTTGGGACCTATTAAGAACTCAAAATACTAAATTACAGCTAATTCGGCGGAAAAATACGATCAAAATACTCAAAATTGGGAGGTACCGTTATATGGGGGCTACCAGAAAAAGTGGACCTACATTTATAATTTTTTGTGGAGACATTATGTACCCAATACAGCAAATTTCAGCGAATTCGGTTGAAAACCCAAAATACCGAAAATTAGGGTGTATCATTATATGGGAGCTATGCTATGCCGAACTTGACCTGCCTGCAGACAAAAGTCAACCCTATGCAAAATTTCAGCACCCTAACTCAATTCCTTCAGAAGATAGCGTGATTACAACAGACGGACGGACATGGCTAGATCGTCTTAGAATACACTGATCAAGAATATATATACTTTATAGGGTCGGAAATGAATAATTCGATGAGTTACAAACGGAATGACAAAATTAATATACCCTTCATACTATGGTGGAGGGTATAAAAATATCAATATTGATTCATGCTTCGGATAAAAATTTGCTCCGCCATGTTCAGTAACATCGGTGGTCCAGGTGACTTGAAAAGAATATATCGCCCATCGCCAGTTTTTCATAGCTAATTTCAGATTTTATCAGAGATTCATCGTCCCAAGTTTGAGTTTGGATGTGCTGTGGCTGGCTAAGGCACATCGATGCCCAAATTTCAGCAGTCCAAAGTCTCTAATCCACAATTATTCAACCATCTATCATTTTTTATTAATACTACCCATGGTTCTTCGATATTATTTCCTGAAATTTTGCTGATTCGTTATCACCTCATATGTTTAATTTTTATCTATGCTTTACTCCCTCTACTATTTTTTTTTTTTTTCAGAATTCTTTATACATTTCATTGGACAATGGCAGTACAATCGATGTACGATTAGTTACAAATCAAGGACGCTGTAGTACAACAAAACCCGAAACAGAATCTGCCCGGCAATATTCACGTTTGGAAACACCATCACCCACACTATCATCATCATCGTCAACGTATTCAACAACATCGGGTACCCTGCAACAAACCTCCACCAAAGCAAATCTAGTCAACGAAGAGCACACCTACTTTTGTAATCCCGAGCTGAAAGAAGAAATGGAGGCGTTGGAAAATAAGCTGACCGCCCGAATTGTATTGCAAAATTGTACGGCGGGTCATTCGTTGAGACGATTCTTTCCCGATGATCCATATATGGGTGAGTTGGCAATATTTATTTGAATTTATGTTTGTTTGAAATATTAACGGGTTTCTTTTGTTTTCTCTCCCTCTCTTTTTTTACAGAAAATCCCCCTCTAATGCCTTTGAATCCGCCACAAAACGATTATCATTTTGATTTAAGTCAAGATGAGGGTATATGCGAACTATATGATATACCCTGTTGTCCATAATAGTGTGTGTGGTGCTGGTGAAGAGGAAATTGAAATAACATCCTTTTTATTTTCGAGTTTGAGTGCGCATTTAAAGGAGAATAGTTTTTCACACCCTCTTCTCCTTATATTTTTAATTTTTTCCCTTCCCCTTTCCCTTAACCAAATATGATCGTCAACAAAACAAAAAACATAGTGCAAATATTTAAAGTTGTAATGAATAGCAAACTTAGTTGAATTAATCTAATGACCAACTTGATGAATCAAGTAAGGAAAAAAGAGAACAAGAGAGAGAGAGAAGAAAGAAGGAAAATTGGTTAGATTTGTATAGTGTAGCATATATATAAGTACGACTTTCCTCCTTGTTTTGGCGTTTTCTTTTCTGCAGATTATTTTTTATTATTATTATTTCTTTAGTTTATTATTATTTTTTTAATCAAAATTTATTATGACTGTAATTTTTGACTTGATCGTGAAATCTACATCCCAAATATATATATATATATATATATATTTCAAAGAGGGTTTTAATCGATCCGTCAATTTAAATCACATTTTCTTTGCATTTTTAATTTACTTCCAAATTTATTTAATTATTATTTTTCCACAATATTTTTTTATTTAAATATTATTTTTTTTAATTTTTGTTTTTCTCATTGGCTTCCAAATTACCTCCATTTTATTTTATTTTTTTATTATTTCTTTTCTTAGACAATTAAAAAAAATCATTTTCCTTTTAAGCAACAATTTTAGGCAATTGTATATAAATATATAATGCAATATTAGACTGTGACGGCATGTCCAAAATTATACAAAAAATATATACATATATTCTTTTAAATTTTAATAAAACAAAAGGTCTTAATTATTATTTCGTCTGCTATCGAATGATGTCATAACTTTTCTTTGCTAATGGCTAAATTTTAAAGATGTGTTTTTAAGCTACATATTATATATTTAAATTAAGCAATCAATATTGACTTTTAATAACAACAATAATAACTTGCCTAATTTATTCAGTAATTGTTTGCATTTTTTATTGGGGTAAACGCATTGGGAAAATGTTGACTGATATTGCTTAGGTTCCAGAATCAGCAGCAGAATCATTATAAAAACCACCAAAAGACAGATTGAAGGTTAATCCGATGTGAAAACAGCACCGGAAGTCAGCAGTGGTCATTACGACAGTTTTGGACCTATCCGTACTCCGCCAATCATGCCACATTGTTTGAGGACTTCGAGAACACTTGCCTCCGGCCGAGTTTGAAACGTTTGGTAATCAATAATATTTGTGGATGTCAGTCTTACGTGGAGTTCCTGAATAAGAAGTCCAAATCCCGTAGAGTGAAGCAGAGAGTTCCTGAGGGTGGAATAATATCTCCGAAACTGTTGAACCCCTACTTTTCCGGTATTTCATGCCCTCCACAGACGGCATTGAGAGTCACGTATGCAGATGATTGCATGATATATTGTTGAACACATGGACTGCGAATATGAGAATGTCATTGAATTTTCAGGACGAGGGCACACAATTTCGACCACCAACTACACTCACAATTTTGGGGGTCAAATTCAACAGCATATTCAAATCGTCCGCACCAACCACAGCTAACTGCGAAGTTGAAATGTAGTAACACATACTTGGGGCACATTTCATTTTCATTTATTTTTTTTTCACTTTTATTTATTAAAACTCTTACATGTACACAAAGCCTTTTTTATTCGAAACCCCCTTTGCAATATATTTACCTTCTCCGCTCATAATCGATTTGCTGAACCAAAAAAAAAAAAAACACTGCGGGAATCTATAAGCGGCTTCAGACCTTGTAAATCCAACATAGACCAAATTTTCACTCTGCGCTAAATCCTGAAAAAAAACCCTAGAACCCACCCATCGACACATTTCACCTATTCGTCCGACTATAAAACTGCATTCGACAGCCCTATCCGTTCAGAGGTGTTTAAAGTCATGTCTGCGTTCGGTATTCCCGCAAAATTATGCGGGATAACTTTGAGTGGTTGAGCAGTTTAAGTCGGAAATGACCTATCAGAGCCCCTTAATATCGAACGAGGATTCAGACAAGGTGACAGTTTGTCGTGCGACCTTTTTAACATGAACTTGCCTTCGAAGGAAAATTCGCATCTCGACCTACTAATTTACGGTGATACTATACGGCACGTTTATAGTGCTTCGCATTGGATGCTTCTCGGGGCAGTTCCGACCATTGTTGTCGTTGTCCTTTGCTTCATTCGCGATCTGCCTTTGAAGCTTATTGTCGGCATGTGCCGACACAGGACCTGTTGGAGTCAGACTTGTCTTGTCTTCTTCGATAAACAGGGTATACACTTCCTTCGTTGATGCCACACAGCAATCCTCCTGTGTAGACTTGGTTGGAATCAACGTGTTGTCCAGCTCCTCATCATCAGTCAGGGTAAGATTTAGTAGCAGTTCCAACGGAAGTGTATCCCACAAGCCTGTACAGTTGTTCGAAGAGTTCCCTACTCTGTTCCTCTAGACTATCGTGAATAGATCTAAGGATCCAATTTAGGTCGTCCCCTGCCAGAACTACAGTCTGATTAGTAGCAGAAGACCAAGCTGATGGTATCAACGCGCAAGACGTCCAATAGACTCGGACCAACTGTGTAATTGGAAAACTGCAGCTTCGAGGTAGTGAACGATTTTATATACCGCTGTACCGCCATAAACGAAACTAATGACATCAGCTTTGAAATCAGGAGGAGAATATTTTTGGCCGACAGATGCTACTGGGGTCTGAGTAAGCAAGGCCACCTCTCACCAGACCAAACTCACACTCTACCAGACGCTGATACTACCCGTGCTGTTGTATGGATCTGAAACATGGGTACATACGCTAAGAGATGGAGTGCTTGAAAAAAATCCTCCGGAAAATATGTGGGCCGATCTGTGTCTTGGAAAATTATTCTATAAAAATATCCACGCCTTATATAGACCTTAGAAAAATATTCTATAAAAATATCCAGGCCTTATATAGACCTTGGAAAAATATTCTATAAAAATATCCACGCCTTATATAGACCTTGGAAAAATATTCTATAAAAATATCCACGCCTTATATAGACCTTAGAAAAATATTCTATAAAAATATCCAGGCCTTATATAGACCTTGGAAAAATATTCTATAAAAATATCCAGGCCTTATATAGACCTTGGAAAAATATTCTATAAAAATATCCACGTCTTATATAGACCTTGGAAAAATATTCTATAAAAATATCCACGCCTTATATAGACCTTGGAAAAATATTCTTTAAAAAATCAACACCTTATATATAGGCATTGGAAAAATATTCTATATAAAATCCACGCCTTATACAGACCTTGAAAAAATATTCTGTAAAAAAATCCACTAAATATTTAGAAAAAATTATAAATAAATAAAAAACCTGTTAATTTTGTTTTATATATTTTCTATATATTTTTTTTTTTCTTTAAAAAGTTTGATTCATATATATAAAATATACCTAAAAATCTAAGCGATAATTATAAAAAATACAAGAAACAAACACACAGTCGTTGGGGGCTACTTCTCAACAGCTACTTCACTTCCTTTTGGCTTTTTTCCAATTATTTTTACCACCACCGCCGCCACCGGTCTTAAGGCGTTTGCGGGCTCCAGTAAACTGTTCGGAATCATCAAAATCATCACCTGCAGCTCCCTTCTTAAAACGTCCCTTGGCACCCTTAGACTCCTCAATATCTTTCAGCTCCAATTTGGCGGTACGTTGAGCTTCACTAACACGTTCCTGCAGAGCCATTACCTCATCCTCTTCACATTTATATAGCGGCAATTGTTTACCCAGCAAATGTTCGATACGTTGATACAACTCGACATCGTATTGGGTGACAAATGTTATAGCTTTACCCGAACGACCAGCTCTGGCAGTACGACCCACTCGATGGATATAATCTTTACTATGGGTGGGTATATCGAAATTTAACACCACATCTACATGGGGTATATCAAGACCACGTGAAGCAACATCGGTGGATATGAGAATTGAACGATTTTTCGCTTTGAATTTATTCAGCGCCGCCAAACGTTTATTCTGAGACATTTGACCGTGCAGGGGAATGGCAGCCAAGCCCAAAGCTCTTAACATAAGAGCTGTCTTGACGGTGTTGTTGCATGTACTGCAGAAAATCATAAAACTATTCCCGGCCAATTCATTGAGTATGTGCACCAAGTAGACGTCTTTATATTTCACTGGGATGAAAATGTAGTATTGTTGCAGCTGTTCCACAGTTTGATATTTATTTGAGACTTCAACCTTGACTGGATCCTTCAGAGAGGCTCTTTGCAACTTCTTCACTTTCTTTGTCATTGTGGCACTGAAGAGGAAAGTTCTCCGCTCCTTGGGTAGGACTTTAAGAATCTTATCCAATTCCACCTCGAAATCCATATTGAGAATACGATCTGCCTCGTCCATGACAAGATATTTAATAGCCTTCAAATTGAAACCCTTCAAATTTTCCAAATGATCCACCAAACGACCAGGTGTGACAATAATAATGTGAGGTTTTTTGCCCAATTGCAGGGCCTGGGATACCATGTCCATGCCGCCGACAACAACACAGCATTTTACACCAATTGAGCTGCCTAAAATGGGAATGAAAAATAAATTATAAAATTGGATTTAAAAAATCCATTTTCTCCTTACCCAAGGCCTCAAATTGTTCTGATATTTGAAAAGCCAATTCACGTGTCGGTGTCAAAATCAAGGCGAAATATCTCTGGGGATTCTCTAGCAAAGCATGCAATATGGGCAGGGCAAAGGCACCGGTTTTACCCGAACCTGTCTCAGCAAGACCAATAACATCTTTACCCTGCAAGGCGACGGGAATGGCCTCTTTTTGAATCTTTGACGGGGCCTTCCATTTGAGTTCTTCACATGCCTTGACCAGCGTTTCATTTAGACCCTGAAATAATAAATTTATCATTATTTTTTCTTAAATATTAATTTCATTCCTTCTGGACTCACCAAATCTTTCCAAGACAAATCCTTTTCCGCTTTATCATCATTGCCATTGACCGCGTCACCTCCATTGGCCTGATTTTTCGAGACCTTTTGATTTACATCCTCATCATCATTTTCTGATTCGGCATTTGATTCATCTTCTTGTTCCTCTTCACCAATGTCACTGTCCTCTTGCTCCTCATCCAACTCCTCTTCCTCTTCTTCGCCGCTAACAACATTCTCCTCATCTTCTGATGTTGTGGACATTTTTATTCAATGTTTTCTTTGATTATTTTATGGGGGGGTAAATTAAATGAAAATACAGGAACACGTGCAATGCCTGCCGATTGTTGTGGTAGTTCATTGGAACTATTCCGGGATAAGTAAATCGACAGTTCCAGTTCTTTAATTAATATAATTCCTTTCTCTCATCCAGTTCCTTTTTTGAACTATTTGAAGCAAAGGAACTGTATACGTATCCCTAGCAAAGGAACTATAAAGAGCAAAGGAACTATATATGGAAAAACAAAAAAAGAATGATGAGAGAGAGATTCAAAAGAACTATGTAGTAGTCGGAACTATATGGAGCTAAGGCACTATTTGGAGTAAAGGAATTATATGGAGCAAAGGTTTTTCAAAGGAACTATATGGAGCAAAGGAACTATATATGGAAAAACGAAAAAAAAAATAAAAGAGAGAGAGAGATTCAAAAGAACAGTGTACACACCTTCATTTTTGTTAATTGTCGTTCTGCCAAGACTTTTTTATCGCAAACCTTCGCCAACAAATGGTCTGTTCCAGTACTTTTTATACCCTCCACCATAGTATTATTTAATTTTGTCATTCCGTTTGTAACTCATCGAAATATTCATTTCCGACCCTATAAAGTATATATATTCTTGATCAGGGTAAAATTCTAAGACGATCTAGCCATGTCCGTCCAATCACGCTATCTTCTGAAGGAATTGAGATAGGGTGCAAAATTTGGAAATTTTGCATAGGGTTGTCTTTTGTCGGCAGGCAGGTCAAGTTCGAAGATGGGATATATCGGTCCACGTTTAGGCATAGCTCCCATATAAGGGTACCCCCAATTTTCGGTATTTTGGGGTTCTTGAGCGCGTTTTTCAAGCGAATTTGTAGTAAATGTATCCACAAAAAATTATAAATATAGGTCCTCTTTTTCTTGTAGCCCCCATATAACGGTACCTCCTAATTTTCAGTATTTTTTGGGTTTTTATCGTATTTTTCCACCGATTTCGCTGTAATTTAGTATTTTGAGTTCTTAGCAGGTACCAAATCTCTCCACAAAAAAATTTAAATATAGGTCAATTTTTTCGGATATACCCCATATAAGGGTACCCCCCAATTTCGGTATTTTGGGGTTCTTGAGCGCGCTTTTCAACCGAATTCGCTGCAATTTTGTACATTGGGTTCATATTGGGTACCAAATATCTCTACTAAAAATTATCCGTCCGTTGCGTTATGTGTTATCGAAAATACACCAACCACAAGGAAACGAAAACACAAACGCTCGAAGTTGTTGTGCGCTGCGCTTCGGAGTTAAATATATTTTAACTTTTTGCGTGCGTTAACGCGATAACAAAAAACGCTGAACGCGAACATTCTGTTTAGCCCTTTAGTAAAGTGACGCGGCGATATCTCAAGCTATTCCCTTGAAATGTTTAAACCTTAAAAAAAAATATTTTGTGGCTTAGCCACCGTAGTGGCTGCAGCTCAATACGACTGACTATGTTGATGTGCACGTATAGATTGTAAAGCTCATGGTTCATTCGACGCCGATATTCACCATAGACGCAGATCGGCCCGTAAATCTTTCGAATAATTTTTCTATCAAACGCCCCAAGAGCTACCTCATCTATTTGCACAAGCACCCATGCTTCAGATCCATACAACAGCTCGGGTAGTATCAGCGTCTTGTAGAGTGTGAATTTGGTCTGGTGGGAGGTGGCCTTGCTTTAACACTGTGGATTTTCTAAAGAATGTTTCCTTTTTTTTTCAAAAATTAATAGATAATCACTGAAAAATGGTGCCATTCACTTAATAACGACACATGTCCACTAACCCAACCAACTTGACAACAATCAACCTGCCACAAACATATGGCAACCCCCATTTCTACCCATTGATTTATTGATTAGAAAAAAAGTGACGTTTGTGTCAGTAGTAGAAAAATTTTTCCAATTCATATACACGCGAAAAGAAATAAATTCCTCCGTAAAGAGAGCTAAAAAAAATTAAAATAAAATATATTTGTTCCATTATTACTAGTATGTAAAGAAAACACAAAAAAGAACGCGGAATTCGGTAAACAAAAATTTGGAAAATTAAAGTGAGTGTCGGTGAATAGAAAATTGAAGAAAAAAAGTTATGAATAAGAAAATTTGCTGCTCACTGAAAAGAAAGTCGACGACAAAAGCAAGAGCAAAACCAACGAAAAAAATCTATAACAATGTCTTCTTGGCATTAAATGAGAATGAATGATTGTGTATTTGTTGAAAAAAATAAGCAAGATGAATTTTGTTTTTGAATGCTGATAAGAAAGAAAAAAAGAGCAAGAGCAGTGTTTAGATTTTATGAAGCAAAAATTGTGTGTGTGTGTTGTTTTCCAAATTCCCATTTTTTTAGTTTTGTTCTACATTTTATACTGAGTTTTTTTTTTTCATTTTTTGCATTGGAATCGCGCACACACATCCTTCTTCGTCCATTGAAATGTCTTTGGGATACACAACATAACGTACGTCTTTTTTTTGTTCTGTCTTCTTCCTTTCGGTTTCGGTACATTTAGCAGTTGACAGTGCAGTTGCCGTAACAATAGTAGCAGAGACAGAGAGCAGCAGCAGCAGAGACACCAACAGCATCATCACCATCAGTTACAGTATAGAGTTGTATTGTAGAGAGACGGAGTGTTGTAAATGAGTTGTGTGTGTTTGTTGTTGTTATAACTCTCCGTTGACGTCAACGTCACCGTCAACGACTGAGAAAAAAGGAGCAGCAAACGAGTAACTTTTAACGAAATAATAACCATTAATAAAAACCACCAGACAAAAACGACGGTCGGACAGACATACCGACGACCAAGTTGTAAAACAAGAAGAAGAAGCAGCACAATTTTGTTGTAGGTGGAGAGGTGTCAAAAGAGAGAGAATAACGAGTTGAGCAAACACACTCTTGCACACACGCATTTGAAGCGGGTGGTGGGAGTGAGACTAAACGCAAACGCACTACCAACAACAGTGGCAAGAATCAAGAACTGTCAGGCAAAAAGGGCCAAGGAATAACAAAAAAAAAAAAAAAAAAAAGTAGTACAACTGCAAATAGCACCCAAAAAAGAACAAGAAAATAGCTAAATAATTACACATAATAGTAGTAAGAACAGAAAAAAGCAACAACAACATAGAAAATTATTAAATCAAAGCCCTCCTCTGTCGCCCAGCTGAGTTCGTGTGTGTGTATATCCCAAACTCTTCCCCATAAACGAACGAAAGAACGAAGAAGGCAGCAACAGCAGCAAGCCACAGCAGGATAATAACCTAACCTAGCCATATGAAGAAATTTTAATAATCAATCTCAGAATTCCTATAGAGAGATCTCATCCAAAGTCTAAAAGACTAAGAAGAAGAACAATCACATTTCCTACAAAAAAAGACACAAAAACAAGAACAAACACCTCTTACATATTCCTGCATGAAAGACATCCTAGTGGGGTAACAACGGCTCCTAGTTTGTGGATAGCAGAATTGTGAAAAGGGAACTCCTCCTCACCCACTAAAACGGAAGAAGCCAAAGTGTGTCACATCAAAGTGCATTTGTGTTGTTGATGTTGTTGTTGGCCCAAATTTTTGCCGATGTATGAACAGCAGCACCACAAGCAAGCAACAACAACCCCGTTCGTTCTGATGTAAAACTTTAGAAATCAAGAAAATTAGAACAAGAATACCAAAAAGAAAAAAGCAAAGCAAATCCAGAACAGCCATCCAATTGTAGAACCCCACACAGAAGTCTAGCAAAAGGAATCAATCTTCTCCCACACCCCACACAGATTTTGCCAGGCCTAAAAATACTTATCGACAACAACCACAATCCAATATCAACATCCACCAGAACCACCTCCACCATCACCATGAATCCAGCCACAGATCCCTGGATAATTACACAACGAGAAAAACTGAAATATGTGGAACAATTTAAGGCATTACAGCCGCAGAATGGTTTTGTTACCGGCGGCCAGGCAAAGGGTTTCTTTTTGCAATCACAATTGCCGCCTTTAATACTTGGACAAATATGGTAAGTCTGACTGTCTGTCTCATCAGCAACATAATAATCAGCAAACATAAACCTCAGCCGATTAGCTTCTGAGTGACTCATACGTTGAAGTATTAAAAAATATATAAACCCCCCAATATAGAGCGGCAGCAGGCGATATGTATGTTGTAAATTCCTCTTTTTTGCTTCGATAAAAAATATCGCTTGCTGTCGTCGTACATCTCAACCTCCTCCTCTTATACTTGAGACGGATGGTTTCTTGTTTACACTTATATAGTATTTCTATTGTATTGTCGTTAATGATTTTCTTTATTCATATTTTTCTTCTTCTTAGTTTTGCCTTTAACCAAACTCTGATAATAGCTTTTTGAAAGAACTTCTTAACATGAAAGAAGCAGAAGCTTTAAGGAAGAGTCAATGACCCTGATTAGATAGATGTAGGTGATAGTCTCAAGAGGTTATTAATTAGGATATGAAGTGTTTTGAGAAGTCATAAATTCGAGGCGATGCTAATGATAAAGAACAGAAGAAGAATGTTTGAGGACCGGTTGTGGATTGTATTATAAAGACTTGCCTGTTGGTCCCTTTTTACAACGCCTCTAATTATATTTCATTAAAGACCCCACATTTTGGGTATATTCAAAGTCCAAGACCAATTTGTATGGTGGATTATTAAAAAGTTTGTAAAAGGACCATCAGAGGACCTTTGATATGCATTTTTAAAAGGGTCAATGGAAAATCAGTATTAAAACGACCTTAGGTATTGATTTTTTTAAAAAATGTTAAAATTTAATGAATTTTTAAGGGCCAATAGGGGGAGTTATGCGTTAAAACGACCATCGGTATTGATTTTCTAAAGTATTTTTTAAAGGACCATTAGTGGATCTAAGGCGTGTTTTTTTAAGAATTGTACAAGAATTGAATTATAGCAACCCTGCAACGATCGCTGCATCCAAACTTTTTATCAATGCCGCTGCCTTCCTAATAGCAAAGATTTCAGGTTGGGAAATACTACAGTTGCTACCCAGCTTGTAGGTAATTCAAGATGATTCAATTTGATTCAATGATTCAATACAAAAAAATTAATAAATAAATAAATATTTTTTTTTTGGAAATTTAGAATTGCGACTTAAGGCAATACAAATAGAAAACGAGCTAGTCAAGACTGATGCAAATCAGTCTACGACTCACAGGACTGCAGTTCTGGGAGAGGACGACCTACATGGGACCCTTAGTATTATCCGCGATATTCTAGAGAAACAGAGTAGGGAACTATTCGACCACCTGGACAGGCTTGTACCGGAAGAGCAAAGTGTTGATACACTTCTGGAGGAACTGCTACTAAATCTTACCCTCACTGATGATGAGCTGGGTACTACGCCGATTCTGGCCAAGTCAACATAGGAGGATTGCTGTAGCATGCATTCGATGACAAAGGGTTTGGATATCAATTTGAAACCCTTTAACTGCTGTTTGCAAAAATGTAATTGTAGAAGAGATTCTAGTCGAAAGTCTTAAATCCCCAAAACTATCCCATTTAAAAGTAGATTCTGTAGTGAAGCTTGTATTGGGATCCGTTTCTTCTGTGAGAGACTTGTTGAATAAATTAATCTCGTTCCATGACCTCCATTTTGTTCGTTTGTTGTGGTTCTAGTTTTCTCTAGTAATCCACCGAACTTAATACCACATATTTTGTTGTACGATTTTTTATATTAAGATTTTTTATGATAGCGTTATTATTTTTCAAATTTCAATGTGTCAATATTTTTTTTTTCAAATGTTTGGTTTGAATATTTGACAAACTACGCCCCATAATTCCCAAACAACAACAACAGCAACATGTGATAATACACAAAAGATGATTTAGCGTGAGTGTGATTTAAGCTGTGATGTTATTCTCCGGCCATATCATTTTATCCTCCTTGTCTCATAATAAAATATTTATGTATGTTTTTGTACATGACATTGTTAGGATTTATATACCACAATATACGTACATATGTGCATTTGTATGTTCATGTAATAAATTTCGCAAGACTATGTTATATTTTATGTCATGTCGTTTCCCGTATTTGTTGCTGCCAATAATAACTTGAACTTTGTTTTCCAAAAAGAGAAAATGGTACACCATTTCAGACATTGTAAGGTCTTGTTTGCCTGCATTGGAAGACAATGTCAAAAAAATATATTGAGATCATATCAATTGCGAGTGAAGACAGTTTGTAACAGAAAATGATTTACTCTGGAAATAAGATGTTTGTCAACCCCTGATGAATCTTAAGATTCCGCAGATTGTCCGAGTCTGTTTATTTGATATTCACAGCTACCCAAAAAATTGTATTGGGCTTTCCACTATCTACAGCCTGTGGACGCGTCCGTTAGCATTCAGCTCTGCTCCCCGAAGGCGGAGAATGGGAGCTATATCTAAATCAGAACCGATCCCATGCTATAGAAGGATATAGCGATATTTTTTTTTAAAATTCGGGATTTTTAGATTTCGTCGGTTTAAACGATTTCGACTGTATTTATTTCAGTTTTTTTTTTAATTTTTTATACCCTCGGCCATAGTATGGATGATATATTAAGTTTGTTTTTCTTCACAGTGCGCTTTTCTACCAATTTCGCCGAAATTTGGTACAATGGGTTGTTACTGGGTACCAAATTTCTCCACAATTAGTTATATACATAGGTCCACTTTTTCTGGTAGCCCCCATATAACCGTAACCACAAATTTTCAGTTTTAAGGGGTTTTGACCGCATTTTTCAATCAAATAGGCTGTAATTTAGTACTTTGAGTTCTTCTAGGATAGCAAATCCATTTTTTCGGGTAACCCCCATATTAAGGTACTCCCAATTTTCGGTATATTGGTGTTCTTGAACGCATTTTTTCAACCAAATTCGCGGTAGTTTGGCATTTTGCGTTCTTATTGGTTTCCAAATCTTCCTACCAAAAATTATAAATATAGGTCCACTTTTTCGGGTAGCTCCCATATCACGGTACACCTTAATTTTCAGATTTTGGGTGGTTTTGACCGCATTTTTCTACCGAATCGGCTGCAATTTAGTACTTTGAGTTATTCTTGGGTAGCAAATCTCTCCACAAAATATAAATGTAGGTCCATTTTTTCGAGAAGGTCCCATATAACGGTACCCCCAATTTTCAGTTTTTGGAGGCTTTTGATCGCATTTTTTGACCGAATTGGCTGTAATTTAGTACTTTCAGTTTTCTTTGGTTAGCAATTCTCTCCTCCTAAAAATTATAAATATAGGTAAATTTTTTCGGGTAGCCCCCATATAAAGTTACCCCCCAATTTTTCGCTATTTTGGGGTTTTTGAGCGCATTTTTCAACCAAATTCGCAGTAATATCGCATTTTGCGTTCTTATTGAGTACCAAATCTCCTCACTAAAAATTATTAATATAGGTCCATTTTCCGATAGCCCCCATATAACGGTAACCGATATTTCGGTATTTTGAAGTTTTGTATTCAACAAAATTCGCTGTAATTTGGCACTTTGTGTTCTTATTGAGTACTAAGTCTCTCCACTAAATATTATAAATATACGGTTGTCTCCATATACCTGTATTCGACCATAGAATGGGGTGTATTCTGTACTCAAAATTATCAGTTTATACCCTACTAAGACGATTTAGTCCATTTAGCCATCTGTTGTAATCATTCTTTCTTCGGAGGATATCGATTATCGGTCCTTAATTAGTCATAACCCTTCATATTAAAAAATATCAAATATTCGCTAATTCCTACACAATGCTGTCAATATTGATCCCGCTTTTGGTATGGCTCATATAACTTTGCAATCTAAATTGCAATATTTTGAGGATTTTATACACATATTTCACCCTACCATGCGTTCAGAATATGGGTCCACATTTTGAGGTTTGGAGTTTATAGGAAAACCCCATTAAAGTTGCTGAAATTTGTATTTGGTGTAGATTATGGTTTCCAACAATCGATTGGTAAAATTGTCGTTATATGTCCACTTTTTGTATGTTGTATGTTCCTATATTTTCATTTCAACTATCTGTCAGTATTCCTATGGTGGGGAGGGTATCCTAAGCCCGGCCGAAATGAACGATTTTTTCACTTCTTTGTTGTTATTATTTAGTTCAAAGTCAAACACTAAGAGGCCCTCTATGGTCAACAACAATGTTCTCATCATAGTTAGCCATGAACTCGGTTTTGGTTGGTTCCTCTGCTATTGCAAGTGGCAATGACTTTATAAACTTGTTAATGATTTTTTCTAAACATTTTGCACATATTAGGCTTTCTTCCGAATATTCTTCCATACGCAATTTCTAAATAAACATTCTAATTATTATTTAGAAAACAAAGGCGAAAAATGAAAAACAAAACGAAAATGCAATGCCATAATAAATACAAATGCAAACACACACATTCTATTCATGGCTTTTCGGCTGGAAATTTACAAAACAATGACCAACAATGTTGAAAAGAATGTTTTATTAACAAAATAGTAGAATACTCGATAATGAATATGGCCAATTTGTATATGCTGTGGAAGAAAGGATACCAAAGTGGTACATTAGAACTGAAATCGACTCGGATTTTTGATCTGTTATTCTTCTGTAAAGGTAATTATAGTACGGGGGTCTAGGGAATAACCCCGAAACCGTCCTGTTAATAACTTCGCAGTTTCTTGCAATGATGCGAAGTAGGTATTTGGCCGTCTCCATTACCTCCTCGCTTTCAAAAAAGGGACAGTAGTCGTATACAATAATAACCGATAGCCGGTAGGGAAATCGTCATTCGACTGAAGCGAATTAGCAACATGCCTCAACATTATGGTTCAGTAGGGCAGACATGACTGGCCCTTTTTCGATATTTCGGTTTAATTGATTTATGGTATATTTCAGAATTGTCGCTCATAATGTTCGGCCGTTTGTCTTACCAATCTCAAGAACTCTTCTTTTTTCCGTCCAACCCTAATACACTTGTATGCAGACATGTATGTTTGTGTGTGTATATAAGTGAATAATGAAGTACTTTAGCCACCAAAAAGAATGGGAAATGCCAAATTCAAAAAGAAAATAAAACACATTTGAATATAAAGAAACAATGTTGTTGTTGTGTGGTGCAGATGTATAATTCATTTTTGTTGGCGATTTCCAACGACTGGCATTAGTAAAATTCACAATTTCAAAGGATATAATGTGAAAGATAAGGATATCCTCTGAGAGGGGGCAGCTAGTTGATTTAAAGGTCAGTAAAATTAAAGTCGAAGCATTTAAACTGTGACATTTAAACCAAAAATGATGACAAACCTTTCTAAAACAGACAACTCCAAATTCGCCACTTGTACTGTTGCTCCCGAATGGCGCAATGGACAGTAGTTTGAAAAAGTATTCTTTAAAAATCGACGCCTTCTGTAGTCCCTGAAAAATATTCTTTAAAAATGAAAATATTTACGCCTCGATTGGTCTCTGAAAAAATCAAAGCCTCGATTAGTCGCAGATAATATATACATCAAAAAATACCCGCCTCGATTGCTCTTCAAAACTCTTCAAAAAAATCCAAATACGCCTCACATTGGTTCTTAAAAATTTAACGCCTTACTTGGCCTTTAAATATTTTCTTTAAAAAATCGTCTTTATAATACCCTGAAAAAATATTCTTTTAAGAATTCACACCTCTATGAAACCCTAAAAAATATTCTTTTAAGAATTCACACCTCTATTAAAACCCGAAAAATATTCATTTAAGAATTCACACCTCTATGAAACCCTGAAAAATATTCTTTTAAGAATTCACACCTCTATGTAACCCTGAAAAATATTCATTTAAGAATTCACACCTCTATGAAACCCTGAAAAATATTCATTTAAGAATTCACGCCTCTATGAAGCCCTATATTTATTTAAGAATTCACGCCCCTATGAAGCCCTATATTCATTTAAGAATTCACGCCTCTATGAAGCCCTATATTCATTTAAGAATTCACGCCTCTATGAAGCCCTATATTCATTTAAGAATTCACGCCTCTATGAAGCCCTATATTCATTTAAGAATTCACGCCTCTATGAAGCCCTATATTTATTTAAGAAGTCAGGCCTCGATTAGACCCTAAAAATATTCCTTTAAAAATCTACGCCTCGATTAGACCCCTAAAAATATTCTTTTAAAAATCCACTCCTCGATTAGACCCCTAAAAATATTCTTTAAAAATCCACTCCATGATTAGACCCCTAAAAATATTCTTTTAAAAATCCACGCCTCGATTAGACCCCTAAAAATATTCTTTTAAAAATCCACGCCTCGATTAGACCCCTAAAAATATTTTTTTTAAAATCCACGCCTCGATTAGACCCCTAAAAATATTTCTTTAAAAATCCACGCCTCGATTAGACCCTTAAAAATATTCGTTTAAAAATCCACTTCTCGATTAGACCCTTAAAAGTATACCTTTAAAAATCCACGCCTCGATTAGACCCCTAAAAATATTCCTTAAAAATCCACGCCTTATATTTAGAGGAGGTTTGGAGGTCGGAATATATTTCATATCTTTAAATCTTAGTTCATTAAACTTTTATTTTTTGTATGTGCATTTTTATTTTCCATTTTCGAAAACTGTGAATTTTAACACTTAATTCCAATACTAATTGTTATTGTTTTTTTTTCGTATTTCTCTTATCAGGGCACTGGCTGATACAGATTCCGATGGCAAAATGAACATAAATGAGTTCAGTATTGCATGCAAGCTAATCAATTTGAAATTACGTGGCATGGAAGTACCCAAAGCGTTGCCACCATCGCTATTGGCTTCGCTAAGTACCGGAACGACACCAACTCTGACACCAACAGGCGCTGGTAGCCTAAGTCCATTGGAAGCAACAAAAACCGCTGTGGCGGCGGCTGCCCAAAAGCCCGAAGTACCACCAATGCCCACAGCAGCTGCAGTGCCCACCTCAGCGGCCGCTCCATTGGTACCAATGCCCGGGGCTGTGCCCATTGTCCCCGGCATGGTTCCCGGTTCTTTGCCAGGCATTGTGCCACAGGCTAATATGGCTCCGGCAGCCATGGCTGGAATACCACCAATGCAACAAATGACTGGCGCTGTGCCAGTAATGCCTGCCGCAATGCAGGCCGGTATGATGCATGGTGGTGTTGCCGGTGTTCCCGGGGTGCCAGCTGTTGCTGGTATGCCAGTGGTAACACAACCAGCTGCAATGCCAGGCATACCGCCCATGATGCCTGGTGGCATGGTGCCTGGTGTGGCACCCACGGTTCCTGTTGTAGGCGGCATGGTGGCGGGTGGTGTGGCACCGCCACCAATACCACCACCAGTATCTGTGGCAGCGAAAGTAATTTCACCACCAAATGCAGTGGCTGCAGCAGCTGTGGCCGCCACACCCACACCACCGGGTAGTAATCCACCAAGTCGCAATATGTCCATATCGGAAAGGGCACCATCATTGGAATCACCGTGAGTACCAAACAGATCTTCAAACATTTTTCCAATTTAATAAAAATTTTCTTTTTCGTTTCTAGACAAGGAGAATGGGCTGTCAAGGCCCCAGCCAAACGCAAATACACTCAAGTCTTCAATGCCACAGATCGTAATCGCACGGGCTATTTAACTGGACCCCAGGCCCGTGGCATTTTGGTACAAAGTAAATTGCCACAAGCCACACTGGCTCAAATCTGGACTCTTTCTGATTTGGATACCGATGGCCGTCTCAGTTGTGATGAATTTATATTGGCCATGTTTTTGTGCGATAAGGCCATGAATGGTGAAAAAATACCCGCCACTTTGCCGGCTGATTGGATACCACCTAGTTTTCGTAAAAATAAATCTCGGCAGGGCTCTGTGTCGGGTCCCATTTCAAGGCCTGGCTCACAGCCAGGATCTCGACATGCCTCGGTTTCATCTCAAGGGGCCGGCGATGCCGATCCTTTGGCTGGACTACCACAAAGTAAGGAAGTCTCCCATTCATAATTATTTTGAATTGAAATAACGAATTTCTCTTTTTACAGCCTCTTTCGAAGACAAACGCAAAGAGAACTTTGACAAAGGTCAGGCTGAGCTGGATAGACGTCGTAAATTATTACAGGATCAGCAGCGCAAAGAAAAGGAGGAACGTGAACGTAAAGAACGTGAAGAGGCCGAAAAACGTGAAAAGGCCCGGCTTGAAGCTGAACGCAAACAACAGGAAGAACTTGAACGTCAGCTGCAGAAGCAGCGTGAACTCGAAATGGAAAAGGAGGAACAACGAAAACGGGAACTTGAAGCCAAAGAAGCTGCTAGGAAGTAAGTCACATTTTCAAAATATCCTAATACGAGTTTAAATATTACAAAATTCATCCTCTCAATCTCTTCTACAGAGAATTGGAAAAACAACGTCTCTTGGAATGGGAACAGGCACGCATTGCCGAGCTGAATTCTCAAAAGCAACGTGAACAGGAACGTGTACTCAAGCAAAAAGCCCACAATACTCAATTAAATGTGGAATTGAGTACATTGAATGAAAAGGTTTTAGACTTTGATTTCAATACCTTTCAATTTTTATTTATAATTTTTTTTATTCATCATTTTCAGATCAAAGATCTTTCACAGAAAATTTGTGAAACACGTGCTGGCGTGACCAATGTCAAATCGGTTATTGATGGAATGCGTTCACAGCGTGACACATCCATGTCGGAAATGTCCCAGCTAAAAGCTCGTATCAAAGAACAAAATGCCAAATTATTGCAATTGACACAGGAGAAAGCCAAATGGGATGCCAAAGCCAAGGCGGCCGGTGCCTTGGGTGATGCCGGCCAACAGGAGCAGTTGACAGCAGCATTTGCAAATAAACAAGTAAGTGGAAAATTTAGGAATCCACACCTTATATTGACCCCTAAAAATATTCCTTTAAAAATCTACGCCTTGTATTGACCCCTAAAAATATTCCTTTAAAAATCTACGCCTTGTATTGACCCCTAAAAATATTCCTTTAAAAATCTACGCCTTGTATTGACCCCTAAAAATATTCCTTTAAAAATCTACGCCTTGTATTGACCCCTAAAAATATTCCTTTAAAAAATCCACGCCTTGTATTGACACCTAAAAATATTCCTTTACAAAATCCACGCTTATATTCGACACTAAAAAATATTCTTTTAAAAATCCACGCCATTTATTGGGCCCTAAAAAATATTCTTTTTAAAAACCACGTTCGAAAAAAATTTATAATTTCTTTTTTTCTACTTTCCAGCTAATAATCAAACAACTCAAAGACAAAGTGGAAAACATCCGAAGTGAAATTGAATCTAAAAAAGAAGATATCAATTCCCATGACATACAAGTGACCGAAGTGAAGGCAGAACTTTCCGAACTTATTAAAAAGTGTGAAGAATTATATGCCGATTATGATAAACAGCGAACACAAGTTCTGGAAATGAAATATAATAAAAAGAATGAAAATGTTACCGCGACCTCGGCATGGGACACAGGATCGGCATGGGGTGCAACCACAACATCAAGTATTGATCAATATTCGTTGGCAAATGACAATAGTACAGCTGTGGCATCCACTACGGCTGTATCTTCTGCAATGGATAATGCTGTTGTGGCGGATACAAGCGGTCCGGCCCCTGAAGGTTTTGTTAAATACAAAGCGGTGTATGAATTTACAGCTCGCAATGCGGATGAAATATCTTTTGTGCCTGGTGATATTATATTTGTACCGTTAGAACAAAATGCTGAACCTGGTTGGTTGGCGGGTGAAATAAATGGCCATACGGGATGGTTCCCCGAGACCTATGTGGAAAAAATGGAAGAGGATTTGGCGCCCACGGAGAGTTATACCACTGCGCAAGATACCTACAATGATAATAGTCAGGGTTATGGGTAAGGGTTTTTAAAGGAGACATTTTTGGGAATTGAAAAAAATAATTTTTGAAATTTTTTTGTTTTTAGAACCACTTCTACGGACGCCGTGGCTGCAGATCCTACCTACAATGGTGATGTTGAGTATTACATAGCCGCCTATCCCTACGAATCTGCTGAAGCTGGAGATCTCACCTTCAGTGCCGGTGAAATGGTAATGGTGATAAAGAAAGAAGGTGACTGGTGGACGGGTACAATAGGCAATCGCACGGGCATGTTCCCCTCAAATTATGTACAAAAAGCAGATGTGGGTGGTGCGGCCCCCACCATCACAGATACAACGGCCCAATATGATGATGCCTACAGCAAGGTGAGTAATGGTTGCCTGCTGCCAGCTTAAGATTGAAACCAGCTCTGCTAGACCATTAATCTCACAAGCGAATCGAAAAGAGGCGTGCCTGTCCCGCTGCACAGTGTTAAAGTTCCAATCAAAAACAAAAAAGCATGATGACTAACATAACACAATTACAATTTTTAAAGCAAAAATCAGCAACAAGAAAAATAGTTCAATTTCGCAATTGAATAGAAAACATAACCTCACAAAATCACACATACACTAAAAGAAAAGAAACAAGCGAAAAAAGCACATCACACACACACACACGTCCATTATTACAATTTTATAGAATTGTTATATGAATTACAAACACACAACCCACCTTTTGAAGCATTAGTTGAATTATCATCTCCCTTAAAACCCTACGAAAAAAACAAAAATCCAAACATTTTTTGTGTCTCTCTCTCTATCTCATTTAAACATTTTCTAGGATAACACATACAATGGCAATGCTCATCATGATCAAATAACCGAAAATGCTTCGACTGCTTTGTCAGATAATACGCTTGCCGCCGCCGCCTCGGATACCCAATTAACCAATGAACAAATGAACCCTGCCGCCGCCTCCTCCTCCTCCACCTCGAATATAGTCGATAGCAATGCGACTCACGATGATGCGGCAGCTGTGGCGGCCGAAGAGACCCGAACCAATGAGGAACTGGATACGGAAGTCTCACAAATCAATACACAATCTAACAATAAAACACAATCAAGTGAACCTGCTGAATCGTATAGTCGTCCCATGTCACGTACTTCTTCCATGACTCCAGTAATTAAAAAAAATAATAATAATTTTACTTTTGTAATAACTCTATGTCTGTCTGTCTGACTGTCCTTTCTCTCACCCCTCTCACCTGTTTGTTTACTGTCTGACTGTATGATTAGTTGCAAGCAAGCAAAAGCAACAAAATATTTTAATTTTTTTGTTTTTGTAATTTTGTTGTGTAAAAACGGCTTTTTATCATTTTTCTGTTTTGTTTTGTTTTTCAAACACCATTTTTTGTTATCATTTTTTTCGCTTCTTCTTAATAATTATTGCTTCTCTACTACCAAATGACTAGTTTAAAGGAATGCTAATATGAAAACACTTTTATTTCACATCAAATTTAAATATTTGAAAATTACTAAATCGAATTTTTGAAAATTAAATTAATTTTCTTTCCCTCCTTAGGGCATGCGAGCCAAACGTTCCGAAATAGCACAAGTTATTGCACCCTATGAAGCTACCAGTCCTGAACAGCTGTCGCTGACTCGTGGCCAACTCATAATGATCCGTAAGAAAACCGAAACCGGTTGGTGGGAAGGTGAACTACAGGCCAAGGGACGTAAACGTCAAATCGGTTGGTTCCCTGCCACATATGTCAAAGTGTTACAAGGTGGTCGTAACAGTGGCCGTAATACTCCCGTTTCCGGCAGTCGAGTTGAGATGACCGAAACTATATTGGGTAAGAAAATTATAACAATAGATAAAATATATATATATAAAATTCGTCTTTATAGAAGGCGTGGATTTTTTAAAGAGATTTTTTTCAGGGTGAATTGTTTAAAGATATTTTTCAAGGGCCTATAAAAGGCGTAAATTTCGTAAATATATTTTTCAAGGGTCTATAGAAGTCGTGGATTTCTTAAAGATATTTATCAAGGGAGTATTGGATTTTTTAAAGAGATTTGTTCAAGGGTTGTGGATTTTTAAAGAGATTTTTTCAAGGGTCGTGGATTTCTAAAATATATTTTTTAAGGGTCTATAGAAGGCGTGGATTTCTTAAAGATATTTTTAAGGGTCTATAGAAGGCATGGATTTTATAAGAGATTTTTTCAAGAATCTATAGAAGGCGTGGATTTTTAAAGAGGTTTTTTCAAGGGTCTATAGAAGGCGAGGACTTTATAAAGATATTTCTCTAGGGTCTATAGAAGGCGTGAATTTTTTAAAGATATTTTTCAAGGGTCTATAGAAGGCCTGGATTTCATAATTCATTTAAAGCTAATTTTTTAAGGGTCTATAGAAGCCTTGTTGATACCTAAGCTTATTAAGGCTTAGCCGCCAAGTCCTTGCCCTGGTAAGTGGCTATACCATGGTCGACCTCAATCTCTCAGTTAGCAGCAGTTAACTACTGCAACCGATTCATCGGACGGGACAGCGACTGCATCACGGGAAAGGAGTTCCTTTTAATCAGGAGGAACCTCAAATTCATCCGGAAGTTCTCCAGGAATTATACGAATGATATTGAGAGGGACTTCTTGTTTAAAAGGATCCCCCTACCCAGTACGAAGACCACCACGGTAGTCCCTCCAAAGAAGGAGAAACCTGTCGGAGGTTATAGTATACATCAGCACCACCCAAGGGTAAACTGAGTACTGAGACGTCCCAGACATCAGCATCCACAAAGACGGAAGGTAGGGGACTGTCGAAGTCGGCCCGCAGGAGACCGCGTAAAAAGGCCTCCAAGAAGACCGATAAGGCACAATCACCCTCTGTCAATTCACACTCTGTCGAATTGCCAAAGCCGATACCCAAGGCTGTGACAATTGGGCAGTTACTAGTGGATGCGCCGAAGGTAGCGAGTCCACAGCTGTCAAGAGAATGAGGAACAATAACCTGCTGCAAAGAGACCCACACAGTCGTCAGCTGCACAAAAATCTGTTTCGTTTGCGCTGAAGGACAAACCTGCCAAGAGCAGTGATTGTGTGGTGGAAACCAAACACGCTGTCTCGAAGCAGGTAGCCCAAAAACCTACAACGGTGCTCAGCGACTCTGCTGCTCCACAAGAGCTTCCGGATGATCTGCGATTAGCAATCATGAACCGAGCTTACCCTGACGGGATCATCAGCGAGGATAAATGGTTGCTGGTCGATGGCTATCTGAAGGATCTCTTCCTATCGAACGAGGATGTTAGACAGAGCCTACGGTTTGGCCAGACCTCCTTATACAAAGGATTACTTAAAGATATTTTTCAAATGGTCTATAGAAGGCGAGTCTTCAGGTCGGCTTTATAGGCGAGCTGAAACAAATCGTCTTTGTAGGTTAGCTGAAACAGATCGTCTATATTGGTGAGCTGAAGGTCGTCTTTATATGCCAATTCTATATCGGCATTATAGACGTGTTGATTGTCGTTTTTTAAACGAGTTCGGCTTTGTAGGCGAACTGAATCAGGTCGGCTTTAAAAATCATTTTTAAAAATTCACGCCATACGTTGGACCTTAAAACTATTCTATAAAAAAATCCAATCATAATGGGGTCCCTTTTGGGTTTCAAAAAAATATTATTTAAAACATCCAAACCTCTTGGGTCCAAATAAATTGAAGGACACTTAACAGATATTCTTTACAAAATTAACCCTGAAGTATATTCTTAAAAAATATTCCAGATTATTTACAATATATTAGTTAAAAAATCAACTCCCCAAACCCAAAAAAAAATATTCTTTAGAAAACCCAAGCATCTTGAGGTGCCCTTTTGGGTCCCAAAAATATTCTTTAAAAAATCCGTCTCTTAGAGCCACTCTCAAAAATATTCTTTAAAAAATTCGTCTCTTAGAGCCCCTCTCAAAAATATTCTTTAAAAAATCCGTCTCTTAGAGCCCCTCTCAAAAATATTCTTTAAAAAAAACCGACTTTGGAACCCCTCTCAAAAATATTCTTTAAACAATCCACGCCTCGCCTCGCAATCCACCCCTCGCCTTTGGTAGACCCTCTCAAAAATATTCCTTAAAAAAATCCACGCCTCGCCTTTGGTAGACCTTCTCAAAAATATTCGTTAAAAAAATCCACGCCTCGCCTTTGGTAGACCTTCTCAAAAATATTCGTTAAAAAATCCACGCCTCGCTTTGGTAGACCCTCTCAAAAATATTCTTTAAAAAAATCCGACTTTGGAACCCCTCTCAAAAATATTCTTTAAAAAATCCACGCCTCGCCTCGCAATCCACCCCTTGCCTTTGGTAGACCCTCTCAAAAATATTCCTTAAAAAAATCCACGCCTCGCCTTTGGTAGACCCTCTCAAAAATATTCCTTAAAAAAATCCACGCCTCGCCTTTGGTAGACCCTCTCAAAAATATTCCTTAAAAAAATATTCTTTAAAAAATCCACGCCTTTGGTTGGCCCTGAAAAAAAAGTCTTTAAAAAATCCAAGCCTTTGATAGACCCCGAACAATTATTTTGAAAAAATATTCTTTAAAAAATCCACGCCTTCAAAAATATTTTTTCAAAAAATTCTTATTATATTTTATATTCAAATTTTTAATTAAATTTTCTTTCTTCTTCTTCTCTTTCCAGACAAAGTCATTGCTCTGTACCCGTACAAAGCACAAAACGATGATGAATTATCATTTGACAAAGATGATATTATCAGTGTACTGGGCCGAGATGAACCCGAATGGTGGCGCGGTGAATTGAATGGTCTTACCGGTTTGTTCCCCAGCAATTATGTTGGACCATTTGTGACGTCCGGTAAGAAAGCCAATGGCAACAAATAATTGAAATATTCCTAGGATGTGCTGCTAATGGCTGGGATAGACCAAAAAAATCCTCAACATGAACGCTTTAATTATAATTTAATGCAATCCCCCCGTACACAACTCAATGCTCTCTCACCTCTCTTCTACCCATTAATATTTTATTTTTGTATACATTGTCATTGTTATGCTTTAAAAATATATTTTTTCTTTATGATATTTTGATCTGTAATTAACGATCATTAAAAACGAATACGAACATTCCGAAATTTCGAAAATATTATTATTATTGAACTACCCCCAACTCTCTCTCTCCCTCTCTCTGTTTTCGCTTTTGGCGATTGTTTATAAAACATGTTAAATTTAATATTATATTTTTTCTTTCTTTATTATTATTTTTTGTTAATTTTTAAGTGAATTAATTATCTTTAAGTTAAATAGACTGTATTTATTGTTTTCTTTTTTTATTGTTTGTTAAGTTAGCCAAGTTTTGTTCCATTGCAATTATTGTGAAAAACAAAATAGACCCCAACCTAATCACACCCCTCTCTTTAGATTTATTACAACAACAATGCCATAGATCATATTTGCTTTGTAATGCTATTTTAATTTTGTTATTTTCCGAATATATTTTTTTCAAATTTGGCTTCTGTTATTCCTTTTTCCCACCAAATTTTTTGCAATATTATTTTTTTTGTATTAAATTATTTTTTTATCATAAATAATTTTAAGTTTATTTTTTTCTTGTCACTTATTTTTTTGATAATGAGCTTAAAACAACAAAATATGTGTAAATATATATTTATATATGTGCTTTATTTGCAATATTATTATCGATATTATTATTATTATATTATATATACACATATATATGTATTAAAATAAAAGTTAAATAATTTTTAATTGCTTTTTTGTTTTGGTTTTATTTTTTGTTACATTTGATTTATTTTTTAAAAGTTATAAATTTTAATTTTTAGTAGGCGTAGATTTTCAAAAATATTTAAAAGGGTCTACCAAAGGCGAGGCGTGAATTTTTTAAAGAATATTTTTTGAGAGGGTCTACCAAAGGCGAGGCGTGGATTTTTTAAAGAATATTTTTTGAGAGGGCCTACCAAAGGCGAGGCGTGAATTTTTTAAAGAATATTTTTCGAGAGGGTCTACCAAAGGCGAGGCGTGGATTTTTTAAAGAATATTTTTTGAGAGGGCCTACCAAAGGCGAGGCGTGAATTTTTTGAAGAATATTTTTTGAGAGGGTCTACCAAAGGCGAGGCGTGGATTTTTTAAAGAATATTTTTTAAGGGTCTATAGAAGATATTTTTTCAAGGGTCTGTAGAAGGCGTGGATTTTTTAAAGATGTTTTTTAAGGGTCTATACAAGGCGTGGATTTTTTAAAGATGTTTTTTAAGGGTCTATACAAGGCGTGGATTTTTTAAAGATGTTTTTAAGGGTCTATACAAGGCGTGGATTTTTTAAAGATGTTTTTAAGGGTCTATATAAGGCGTGCATTTTTTAAAGATGTTTTTTAAGGGTCTATACAAGGCGTGGATTTTTTAAAGATGTTTTTAAGGGTCTATACAAGGCGTGCATTTTTTAAAGATGTTTTTTAAGGGTCTATACAAGGCGTGGATTTTTTAAAGATGTTTTTTAAGGGTCTATACAAGGCGTGGATTTTTTAAAGATGTTTTTTAAGGGTCTATACATGGCGTGGATTTTTTAAAGATGTTTTTTAAGGGTCTATACAAGGCGTGGATTTTTTAAAGATGTTTTTTAAGGGTCTATACAAGGCGTGGATTTTTTAAAGATGTTTTTTAAGGGTCTATACAAGGCGTGGATTTTTTAAAGATGTTTTTTAAGGGTCTATACAAGGCGTGGATTTTTTAAAGATGTTTTTTAAGGGTGTATACAAGGCGTGGATTTTTTAAAGATGTTTTTTAAGGGTCTATACAAGGCGTGGATTTTTTAAAGATGTTTTTTAAGGGTCTATACAAGGCGTGGATTTTTTAAAGATGTTTTTTAAGGGTCTATACAAGGCGTGGATTTTTTAAAGATGTTTTTTAAGGGTCTATACAAGGCGTGGATTTTTTAAAGATGTTTTTTAAGGGTCTATACAAGGCGTGGATTTTTTAAAGATGTTTTTTAAGGGTCTATACAAGGCGTGGATTTTTTAAAGATGTTTTTTAAGGGTCTATACAAGGCGTGGATTTTTTAAAGATGTTTTTTAAGGGTCTATACAAGGCTATACTATACAAGGCGTGGATTTTTTAAAGATGTTTTTTAAGGGTCTATACAAGGCGTGGATTTTTTAAAGATGTTTTTTAAGGGTCTATACAAGGCGTGGATTTTTTAAAGATGTTTTTTAAGGGTCTATACAAGGCGTGGATTTTTTAAAGATGTTTTTTAAGGGTCTATACAAGGCGTGGATTTTTTAAAGATGTTTTTTAAGGGTCTATACAAGGCGTGGATTTTTTAAAGATAATTGTTTAAAGGGGGAATTTTAAAGATAATTTGTAAAGGTGGATTTTTTTAATTATTTTTTATTTTAATTTTTTTTATATAACTAATTTGTTCTATTCTTTCTTCTAGGAAATGTATAACAAGTTATGCCAGCCCCAGCTTACTAAACTGCAACTACAAGAACAACAACAACCACAATGGCTAAACAAAATTATTGAATTTAATAACAAAAGTAAAGCAGCAGCAATAATGAATTGTATTTACACGGAAATATAGAAAACAAAATACTGAAACAAATTTAGAAAATTTAGAAAAAGAAATAAAAAACACAAAACAAAAATGGACACAAAATCTGGCATAAGAAAAATTACAAACTAAAAACCCTGGGTATTATTAACAAAAATAATGAATTAAAAAATTAATAAATTAAAAAAGAAAAAAAAAACAAAATTAGAAAAAGAAGACAAAGAAATTAGTAAGTTCTTTTTTTGCAATATATATATAAAACAAATGAATATATAAGAGTATCGAAAGGAAATCACAAAATTCACACATACTCACACACACACATTTATTCCATTCCATTAGTCGTATTAATCAATCACAATATCACTCAGTCAGTCAGTAAGACACCTACACATTCAAATGTCACTCTCAAAATGAACGAAAGAGTTCGGAACCAAAAATTCGTAGAAGAAAAATCGAGGTATAGGCAACATAACCCATTGATGGATGACTATATATATATACATACATATATATTCTAATCCACTGCAAATTCATATGTATTAAGGACAATATCAAGCTTTCTTATATAATTGGGTAAATTAATTAAAAATAAATTATTACATTACATATTTGCAAAAAAACTAAATGCAAACAATAATTAAGCATTCATATATACAAACAAACAAATAATGAATTATACATACCTACATATATAAATGGGAAACACTTTACAAAGAAATCTTGTCAGACTAGTTATTACAATAATAAAAGAAAATTGATTATTAAATAAATATATTAACAAAAATATATATAGATATATATGGTGGATTTAATGCTTAAGTGTTCCACAAGAGATTTTCTAAAAGAAAAAATTGATTTTTTAAAAATTAATAAAAAAAAAAAATAAATTCGGAAATTAATCTTCTACAAGACTATGCAGTCTAATAAAATGATGAAGATGATTTGAAACAAAAATTTAATTCCGAAATTAATCCTCTACATGACTCAGAAGCCCAGTGAAATTTTGAATTTTAAAAATTAATAAAAAAACGAAAATTTAATTCAGAAATTAATCCTCTACATGAGCCATTTTGAAGATCTCAGAATAATTATATATATATATCAAATTTCGTTATGAATTTCTGAAATCTCTTTTGGATCACTTAATTACTAAATCGTTCATAATATTTATTATAAAAAAATATATATGATATTGCAAACAAAAGTATTGGATATTGATACATAACTCGTATATACACATAAAATTCATAGGTGTTTCTTCTTTTTGATGAACATTTTATTATTACAAATTTTCCTTTCAAAAAAACATAACCTACAAAACGTTACCGATTAAATAAATAAATAATTAACCAAAATAAAAATTATTAAAAATGTTGAAATAGTTGAGATTTGCGTAACAATACTTCTGTTTTTATTTAAAAGAATTTGTGGGCGTATGAGAGATTTTATTTAATCGTATTTCGAATACGTATGCTTTCCTTTCTAATTTTTAAATCGTCGATTTTTATACCATAAGGTGAAGTGTATATGTAAATGTGGCATTCCATTTGCAACACCTCGAAATAATCACCAGAGACCCTGTAAAGTATATATATATATATATTCTGGATTAGAATATAATTCTATGTAGATTTATGTCTGCCATTCTGTCTGTTGAAATCACGATAGAGCTCGCAATATTTAAGATGACGTTTTGAACATTTCTACATACTAGTATGTTTGATATTGAAAATGGGATATATCAGTCCAGCTCCCAATATTCGGTATTTTAACGATATTTGGCACGTTTTTTTCAATCGAATTTGTCTGTAAGTGTCGTAGTCGCCTCCCCATAAGGCCAATATTCGGAATTTTGGGAATGTTGTGAACATTTTTCCACCGAATTGGCTGCAAAAATATATGTTTTAGATTCTTGGGTTCAAATCTCAGTACCTGTTTGTTTTATGCCCCATAACACAGTAACCCAACTTTTCGGTATTTTGAGGATTGCATGCCTGCGCCTTATTTCTGGTATGTTCAAGGTCCGAATACAACCTTAGTGTCTGTAGTTTGGCATTTCGTTTTTTTTTTCCTAGAAGACCCTATAGTCCAATTGGACATGTATGTAGGTTCGGTACTGACCAAGGACGATCTCTATATATACCCTTCACCACACTATGGTACAGGGTATTATGTCTTTGTGCATATGTTTGTAACAGGCAAAAGGAGACGAGACAGACACATGGTTCCTTTTGAGAATATGCATAGAATCACTTTCTAAGTCGATTTATGCATGTCCGTCTGTCCATGTTAAATTTTAACAAAGTACAGATCGCATTTATGAGTGTTGAAGGGTATCATATAGTCGGCCTGTCCGACTTTTGCATTGCTGTTTTCGGGATGATCAGTCACAGACGGGTCAAAGATGAAGGAAGGCACTGGTGCAGGCGTTTACTGTGGGGAATTAGAAATATACAACACATATAAACTTAACAATCTTTGTAGCGTTTTTCAAGCAGAAAATCCTTGCAATTACGAAATCGGACGAAATAGTCAAAACCCTTACTACCGATAATACGGGACCGGTGACTATTTATGTCGATAGTCTGGCGGCTCTCGAGCCTTTGAAGTCGTGCACTATAAACTCAAAAGCAGTTCTTGATTGCAAGTCTGTTCTGCTCTCTCTTCTTTTCACCCTTTTCTTTTCAGGTATCAAGGATGATCACAATGGACAATAGTCTCCGAGTGAACGATTATTACTAACAACCGTACAGCCCTAACCTAACCTATGATCAGTTAACATTTATGGGGGTCTATGAACCAAGTCTTTTGTGAGAAAAAATGACAAAATTGGCGTTCTGTGGGGTATATATTTGGCCAGAAGTAGATAGACTGGATAAGGTGATAGTATTTCTAAGCGGAGTGGTTGACTTATAAATTGATACCAATGATATTGAATAGGGGAGTAATACTTAAATATTTAAGGGGATCCACTATGGGCCAGAGAGCCTATTTTTTGGCATTGACGCTGATTACGGTACTGCAAGAAAACAGTAAAAATCACTAGGGTGGATCGAAAATGGCAGTCGAATTTTGTAGAGCTATGGTCACTGATTACAAATATGAAATCAAATTTTGAAAATCAAATAAAATTAATTCAAAATGACGAATCAAACATTAGAAAACATTAAATATTTCATTTCTAGCAGTATTTAATATCAAACTAGCATGAAATCGTTCCATACCATAATTAAATTTGAAATATGGCCGATTTTGTTTTCAACCAAATCAAAATTTCCAAAATAGCGAATAAGGTGGAATCCGCTTATATGGGGCCTATCCCGAACCTTAAGTCAATATTGCTTATTTTTGGTGCGAAAACTTCTCACCCAATGAGAATTTTGTTGAAAATGCGCTCAAATTCCCGAAAGTGAACTAAAAATGTTAATTTTGGGTAGGAAGTTTTGCTACCCAATAGAAACCCAAAATACCAAATTTTGGGCTTCTATTGGAAAAAACATATTTATGAGTTTCATTTATAAACTGTGACCCAAAACGATATGACATTTTATTGGTCAAGGACGACACTTATAATTTTCGGTCATGATCAGTTGATATTAAGGGTGTGAAATGGGCCTCAAACTTTATTTTTGTTTGGTTTTCTAGTCGCTCTGGAGGCCACAATTTTAAGCCGAACATCACATGGGGAAGAGGATCTGTCCAACTAATTAAAATAACTGTTTTTATAGTGATTGGTCAATATTATGCGGGTCAAATGAGCCAAGTCTATTGTGTGTACAATAGTAAAATTTTAATTTTTCCTCGTAAGTGTTCACTCGGGGAAACATGATTCGGAATAGATAAAAGGAGGCGTTGTTGACCTCTAATCGACCATGAACGTGCTTAAGGCAATTGATCCACGGGAATTTAGACTTCAGTGGCATTTGTGTTGGTATCACACGGTAGGTCCGGTTCGACTCACTAGTTACCAATAATGGTTTAAGAGAACCCTTTTTATACCCTTCACCACACTGTGGTACAGGGTATTATGTCTTTGTGCATATGTTTGTAACAGGCAAAAGGAAGGAGATAGACATGGTTCCTTTTGAGAATATGCATAGAATCACCACTTATTTGGCCCAAGGATGAACCCTATTGAAATTGGAAAAAATCGTTTCAGATTTAGATATAGCTCCCATATATAGTTTCGTCCGATTTAAGGTAAATGGGGCACCAAAGTCCCTATATATCTTTAGATTTGTACGAAATGTGGCACAGCGTACTGAATTAGGTCTAGAATGATGTGTGTTAAGTTTCCCGAAAATCGGTTCAGATTTGGATAGAGGTCCCATATATAGTTTCGTCCGATTTAAGGTAAATGGTGCACCAAAGTCCCTATATATCATTAGATTTGTACGAAATTTGGCACAGCGTACTGAATTAGGTCTAGAATGATGTGTGTTAAGTTTCCTGAAAATCGGTACAGATTTAGATATAGCTACCATTTATATTTTCGTCCGATTTAATGTAAATGGTCCACCAAATACCCTGTATATCTTTAGATTTGCACGAAATTTGGCATATACCCAAAATGGTGAAGGGTATCATATAGTCGGCTGCATCCGACTTTACTTCAAGAGATGTTGAGATTTTCACTTGATATTTAAAGGGACATTCTTGAATTAGCGTATGTTCGAATTAAAAATGTCTTTCCAAGGAAGGGGGCGGGTCCCCTTAGTTGTTTTTCAAAGTATCTCCCTGCATGATTCACTTTTTATTTTTCTGAATATGCAGTATGTGTCAGGGCCAATTGCGATCTTCATATACATATTATTTTAAAATTTGAAAACCTAGTACTGTATTTGAATTTGTCTAAAATTTTCCAGTTATATATTTTTAATACAATTCCAATTTTCCCTAAGAACTCATCAATTGGAAAA